TCATCCAATCAGACTTTAAGTCTGAACTATCCATTTTATAACATTTATTAACACATACTGTATTCTATTGCATCCAGCAGCTCCGCTGTCCTCCATCAGCAAGAGACGAATCTCCTGTAAGGACCTGGGCCGTGGAGATTGTGAGGGCTGGCTGTGGAAGAAGAAGGATGCTAAGAGCTATTTCTCACAGAAATGGAAGAAGTACTGGTTTGTTTTGAAGGGCGCCTGCTTGTACTGGTACATGAACGAGGAGGTGGGCCAATACAGTTATCTTTGTTGTTTCTCGTATCCACCAGCGCAGCAGAAACTGTATCGATCTAGAGATGAGACTTTAATTGGTGTGGCTTTACCCTCTTGTGAGGAATAAGATTAATGCTCATCTACCCTAACAAAACAGTCTTCTACACATGGCGCTTCTGTAATGAAGATAAGGAACTTCTCTGAACAAACACTCACTTTTTGATTAATTACTCCTTGCGCCTTCGCTTTTTATCACAGCTCGGGTACTGGGATACGGCTGCCGTTCTGGGGGTTTCGGGGAGGGTTCCTCTCGGCCTGGTTTTGGTCCACTGAGAATGCTACAACATAGTCCGGCTTTGCTATAATTGATGATCTTCTACTGTATGGGTTTTGTAAACACAGACAGGCTTACAGAGAGCCGCAACAATTTATGCTTTTCATTTATTTATGCAGAGCTCCTGTCAGCAGTGCTGCTGCAGTTTAATGCTGGAAAAAAAGTAATGGAATGAACCAAAAGAGAGAGAAAAGAAAAGAGAGAATTAGGAGATGTAACTCCTAATGAGGACCTAATGACATTACAGAAGAGTGTAAGTGGGGTGAAGCGTCCGCACAATCCTCTCTCTCTCTCTTTTCTCCACCTTTTAGGATGAGAAGGCTGAAGGGTTTGTCAGCCTCCCCGAGTTCAAGATCGACAGAGCCAGTGAATGTCGCAAAAAATAGTGAGTACCTTTATGAACTTTTAAACAATGTGATGATGCTTGAAAAGTTCTTATTGAATCTTTGCTCCCTACACAGTGCGTTTAAAGCATGCCATCCCAAAATCAAGAGCTTCTACTTTGCAGCGGACGGAGTGGATGATATGAACAGATGGTTGAGTCGTCTCAACATGGCGGCAGCTGGCTATGCAGAAAGAGAGCGAATCCGTCAGGAACAGGGTGAGAATACTCGTTGTAGAAAGGTTACGGGTTTTGAAGGTTTGATTCCCAGGAAATATGATTCTTCAATGTAAAAGAGAATAGTGGGAGGGGCCAACCAAAATTCAGAGAGGGCCTAATCAGAGCTACATTTCCCAAAAGCATTGCAAGCCTGAGGAGATCATAGAGAGACCATTGGTGGCTATGATTTCTGTGATCTATTTGGACGTAAAATGCTTTTGGGTAATGCAGCCAAATGATGTGGGAAATTTGCAAACTTTTACTGCACTCTAAAGAAAGGGTTGGGAAAATCTGACACCTCGAGATCCACTCTACTGCAGAGTTTAGGTCCATTCAGGTCATAATTACCCCATTTATGTGATTTCGACTTGTAAAAAGCGTTCATGTCCTCGTAGGGCTCGTAATTACAGCTTATAAGATGGGAATTGTCTGAGAGCTCTTACTTGTACCATGTGACTGCTGTACCACCTGACTGCTGCAGTTTAATTTAGACATTGATTGTGGTGGCATAGAAACGCATAATAACGCACTTGAAAAAGCTAGGGTTATTAGAGAGCTACAGGCAGATGAGTTTGATCCAAGATGGAGCTAAACGCTGAAGGGAAGTTGATCTAGAGGGCCAGAGTTGCCCAGCCCTGCTCTGAAGGCTTTCCTGATGATGCGGAAGTTTTTACTTTTTTGTAGAAGAAGGACAGGTTGTCAGTATAGGTAGCACAACTGTGTTCTAAATGTGTTTTGAAACCATAGACCCCCCTTGTTTGCATCATGTAATCATTAACATTATCTTAAAGTCGAATTGAAACTGTAGTATTGACAGATATTTTCTTCCATATTGTGACGCACATGCGTAGTAACAGATTATCAAGAAAGAAAATAAAATGTTGGATGGAGATTTGGTGGTCTGCATCGTCCATTAATTGGATTTGAGATGTAGGCATTGCACTTAAAAATGAAGGCAAGCCTCTGGAGGGACTGGGTTTAAGCTGTCAAAATGATTGGAGAAAACTTGCATAATTTTGGCGTTGTCAATGGAAGATTGAGTTATGACATTTTGAATAAAAATGTACAAGAAAAATGTTAGACTTTAAAAGGTTTTTCTAAATACACCTCACAGGAGTAAAAAAAACAGAAAGAAAGAGAAAGCAAGTGAGGTTTTTTTTTTTAGGTTAATTGTAGTAATCCACAACAAGTCGACATGCAAAACCAAAGGGGGTCAAAGTTTGGCTTGTTAGTTGGTTACAACCTGCTGGTAAATACTGTCCTTAAAAACATCTCTCTCCTTTGTTCATTCAAAATTAGCCACTAATATTTCATTTAGTTTTTTTTTCTTCAGACAGCTCTTAAAAGCTTAAAATGGCCCAGTATTTCCTCTCTCTTGAACCCCAGGGATAGGTTCTAGTAAAGGCTTTGGAACTGTTAAGTAAGATGTTTTACTTAAGGTCCTGCCCGTGCAATCTCTTTGTGCCCCACATGATCTCTGAGGCTTTAATTTAATTATTGTTTACTTTATGGAAATGTTTTGCAACAAGCTAATGACTGCCTGCATGCCCCTCTCTCTCTCTCTTCAAGCAGACTACTGGAGTGAAAGTGAACACGAAGACAATGAGACGCCCTCGACGCCCAAGCAAGACAGCCCACCACCCCCTTATGACACGTACCCACGGCCACCCTCAGTGAGTCAGCATCCAGCATGCACACAGATATACCAGCTCTCCCTCTTTGTGTAATCCCACACAATAGCACAGACTCATAATGCTTGACATTTGGCATTGGTAAAAGAGCTGTTTTGTAGTGCCGTCCCCCAGACCTGGCCTTGCCACGTCACTGAGTGACTGTGGGCGAGTCAGACCACCACAACTCTAAGCCGACTGTTGAGATGTGTGGAGATTGAGTCTTATCTGTCTGTTTCTCTACTTATCTCTCAGTCTTTGTGAGTCACAGTAAGATTTACTCTGTGCTTTTGATAGACAGTATGAGATCTCACAAGATCTGTATAAATATCAAGTGCCATTACAATTTTTCACTCAGGAAGTTGAACATTCCTGTTTTGTAAATTGAATAGATTATAGTATATGGTGTCTACGCGTTCCTGAGTGTGTGTGTGTGGTTAAATTTGTGTGCACAGTCACAGTTTTCTGTGCATTTTCAGTGCTGTACTCCAGGGCAGGTCAACTAGAGGCCGCACACAGCAGCAAAGCCTTTTTTTAAGAGCAAACAAAGAAACTTGAATTAAACGTTTTTCTTTTTCCTTCCGCAAGGCCCCCTCCAGTCCTTCTACACACATACACACACACATTGTTCCGAGAGATAAACGAATTAGGGGACTTTGACATTGTTAACCGAGAGGCCTCCACAGTGTTGTCTGGTTGTTTCTCACCACATTACAAAACAGAATCTACTATACTATATCTATCTGTCTGTCTGAATATAGTCTGTCTTTAAACCTGATCTTTTGCCAATTGGATGAAAGCAAAAAGAGCAGTTGGCCCATATTTAGAGCCTAATTTCACACTAACACTGCATTAGTTTCTCCCTCCACATCTCTGTCTCCTAGTCCTCCGTTTTTCTATATTCGGTACGTTTCACAGAAACCCGATATCTCTCTGTTTCATGATGAGCATCAAATTAAGTTGTAGTTATAAATGAGTGTGATATTGTTTAAAAGCTTCCTACAAAAATGTTGTTAAAATACTTGAGTTTAACCTAATGTTCACCTTATTCTTTTGTGTCCTTTTTACTTTTTCTCTGACTCAGAACCCAGTGAGCGTTGCCAGTCCTTACCTAGAACCAAAGCATGGGCGTCTCTCATCCACAGAAACTTCACACTCTCGCTCCTCTCATGAGGAGTACCGCTCCGAACCTCAAGGGGGCAGCAGCAGCGGTGGAGGTTCCCCTGCACGGAAGTCCGCCAGCCAGCGCCGTTCATGGCAGGACCTGATTGAAACCCCTCTGACCAGTTCTGGCCTCCACTACCTGCAGACCCTGCCCCTAGAAGACGCTGTGTTCTGTGAGCCGGGGGCAGGTCTTTCTCCAGAATATCGCCGCCAATCCACTCTACCTGCCCAACGCACACTGATGCAGGAACATTATGGTCCCTTCCCAATGCTCGAAGGGGAGAGGCTCAGAGACCCTGCTAACACAGTCGGGAAACCCCGCAGCTTTACCTTGCCACGGGATAGCGGCCTGCATGCCCTCCTCACACCCTCTGCCACCATGGCGGATCAGCGGGACCCCAGCCGCAGGGAGCTCAGCCGTTCTAACTGCATCAATAATGGTGGGTCGACATATTTCTATTAAAATACTGTATGAATACACCCAAGTAATATATATACCTAAATTAAAATAATTTAAAATCTTAAATTTACAGTGCTAAGTTAAATAAATTAAATGATAATAATAATAATACATATACAATTATATATATATATATATATATATATATATATACTGTATATATATATAATTGTATATGTATTATTATACATTATATATATATATATTATATATATTTATATATTTATATTTTTATATACATTATATATATTTTTTATTTATTATAATTAATGTATTTGTTATTATTTTATTAATTGATTTCAATTGGGACTGTCAATTTAAGAATTCAAATGACTAACATTCAAAATGTACACATTTGTCTCTTGATCAAGCTTATGCAAAGGTAGTTCTGAGTATTCCCTTTGTTATAATTTTGCAATGTGAGAAGCTGTGCTTAAAAGAAAATAAACCAGGTCGGCTCAAATCAACCCACTAAAACCTCTTTACCACAATTATATTCGATTTTAATAGCCCCTCTGATTATGAGAACAGCAGAGTTATTTTAGTTCATGTGTGAATTTGAGTGCTTCAATGTTAAATTGTTAAGAGCAGTGCACTCAGAGAGGGACATGCGCATGGATTTGTGGCTCTTTTTACATCTGTGTCTCTTCCTGTGTTTTTCGTAGCTTCTGCATCATCCTCTCTTTCTCTGTTTGAGTGTTTGTTGGTGCTGTATGAAGCATAAACGGTGCCCAAGTAGCAGGATTTTTTAGCTGTGCTGTGAGATTCCCCACTGAGATCTGTCCACTCGTTTCTTACATGCACATAGCCTATTGTGGCATCTTCTTCTAGAAATAGATGCTTGCTCTTTCCCATGAAACTCAGTTTAAACCTGCTGTATTGGTGTGGTTCTGATACAAGCTCCTGGCCGATTTGTCTTTACTTTACTTATTTTGGAACTGATTTACAACAACAGTTAATCGTAAGCCTGTCCTCTTGAGGTTATATATGATTATATATGATAATATCAAAAACAGACACCATGATACTCAAAAAATAAAAATTGTATTTTAAAAATTTAATTGACAACATTTTAATAGTTCCCATAAGGGACAGTAATACATTTAGCAGAACCTTATCTTCTTAACTATAAGTTTTTTCCAACAGCTATTATTTGTACAGAGACTAAAGTATAACTTATTAATGTATTCATATTAATTTTACATTTAATATTAATTAAAAAATGTAATTAATATTTATTGTTTTCTTTAACATAATATTTCTCCAAAAATTAGTTTCAGATTAAACCAAGGGTTTCTCAAACTGGGATTCATGAGGGAACTGGAGGGGGTTTGTGAGTTGAAGAAAAGCTAATAATTGATTAAATCAATGAAGAAAAAATTTGTGAAATTGGAAATGAGGTCCCACTTTATATTAGGTGTCTTTAACTTCTAACATTTATAAATTAATGATTTGAAACAGTGCTCTTATTGTGTACATATATGTTTCAACATTGTACTTATATTATTATAATTACCTCAATGTAATTACATCTATAATTACACTGTTGACCCTTTCCTTTACCTTTCAACCCACCCTTAAACCTACTCACACCACCAAACCTGTGCCTAACCTTACCCATATTCCAATAGTAGCAAAACTGTTTTACAATACAACACAAACGCATTGAGTGCATTGTACCTTTTTCAATGTAATTACATTTGTACATATAAAGATATGGAAGCTTGTTTCCGTGACTGAATAAAAAAAAAAAGGTAATTGACTTTTGTTTTTGTTTCTCAGAATTTCATGATTAAACTCACCATTACAATTTATAAAGTCTGACTTGCGAGATATAAATTCGCAATTTTGTGTTATAAACTCTGCAAAAAGAATCGCGGGATATTAACTCATTGTGATTGCTAGAAAAAAAGTCAGAATTGTGAGAAAAAAGTCTCCTATATAGTCACCTTATAAAGACACTTTAAGATCTGACAAAAAATGTCAATAAAACACTGACATTGAAATAAAACACTACAAAAAATATGCAAAAGAAATATTTAATTTGTTTATCTGCTTGTAATTTGACCATTAACTGTCATCAGAGAACTGTAAACACGCAAATACGTTCAATTGAAGAGTTCAGATGCAAAAGCCTCTAAATGCCATTTGAAATTTTCTTCTTTAATGATGATTTTTATCAAACTTGTATATTTAAGTTCAGTAATTTCACTTAAATGGCATATGAATTGTTATTTAAGTGAAATTATTGAACTTAAATATACAAGTTTGATAAAAATCATCATTAAAGAAGAAAATTTCAAATGGCATTTAGAGGCTTTTGCATCTGAACTCTTCAATTATTTAACTTAAAATATCAGGGGGTACTTCAAGTAAATAATTTACTTCAAAAAGTTTTGGCTGACAAAAGTTTGGGGACCCTCTGTTGAATGCTAATGAACTATATTACTTGGAGGAATAATTGTTCATTCAGATTCTTATTAATAAATGTAACTACTTTTTAAACATGGCCACCTCTTTTACTTTTTTAATGCCTGATATGCTCTATCTCATGGAATTATGCTTAAACCGTAACAATAAATTCTGAACGGGCTATTAATTCTGTCCCATTTTGGTCTGGTGTGCAGATAGACACATTTCTCTCCACAAACCTCCTAGGAAGCCTCTCACTGGCTGCTGCTGGATTACCACTCTGTTTATCTCCCCGGGTTACTTTTCATCTTCCCCTCGTCTCTCAGTCTATCGCCTCATGGCTCTTTGCCATCTCACCATCTATATTCCCCATCTCACTGGCCATCTCCACTCCCTCACTTCCCGTCTGCCCCATACCCTGTCTAACTTTCTCTTCTAATATTCCCCTTTTTCGTCATCTCAGACGGATCTCCTGCAGCAGTCTATATATAATCCCAGTGCCTTTTTTAATGAGTATCCCTCTTATCTGTGTCTTTTATATCGCTTTCTCTATCTCTCTCTGGGGGAGTTGGGGGCATCAGTTAGTCATCCACGGAGCCCATGCGTGCTGTACTACATACTGAAGAGAAAAGAGAGGCATGGCCTATTGATCGTGACTCTATATCACATGTTCCCCAGCAACTGGAACGTTTTTCTGCGCTACTAGAGTTCTGTGCCATTTAACAAGTTACAAAAGGATCACAAAAAACTTTATTGATCTACCCAGGTTGAGTCGTTGTTATTGTAATTCATCATCACATAGCTAACCAAGCGGTCGTTAAAATGCTTTTTCTTTCCAATTATTGCAGGCATTTAACAAAAGCAGGGCTTGTCAGCAATAACTTGCACACAAAATGATAAACAACCAAGAAAAATAGTTTGAAATATAATAAAGAGGTTCAAAATGTTTTGGCCTGACAGATAGAAGAGTCCATATCGGTTAGGGTTGTTATTATGTAAATAAAAGCTAAAATTCGTACATACCAAACAATAAAACATAATATTCTTCGCATAGTCATTGGGGTATGAAAATGCTTAAATTGATAATCATTTAGATTTTTCTAGTTATTTAAACTACATTCCCTCGCTGAATGCTACATGCATACAGTATATACCCTGCAAATGCTGGGAGGAGTTGTGTGAGACTGCTGCCCTCTTGTGGTTGTTCAGAACAGTGGGTATATACTCGCCCACATACTGTACACTGGGTTCGGGAAGGCTGATCATAAGAAACATGTGATATCTGCCAATAACAACCCAGCACTAGATACTGTTCATGGCCCACATGCTTTACCTACACAAACACTCCAACAACAGGACATGAGTGATTCAACTTATTTCCGGACTAGCACATGAGTAACGCATGAGCACACCATCTTGACCATGGTTGATAGCTTGAACCAGCTAATCATGTTGAATAGCTAACTCTTTACTGGTGGAGCCACCCCTATTTAACCCTGGCTTTCTGTGGCGCCCCCCACAGGCGGGGAGCCGGAGTGCCATCGGCAGGCGGATTCGCTTGGTGATTTGTACCGGGCACTGGAGCGTGCCAGTCTGTCGCCCATTGGTGAGCACCGCCTTTCCACCCGTCTGGAGTACAAACACCTTTTCATTCGGCGTTGCAACGATCCACAGCTAAATGACAAACTGCATCATCTCCGCATCCTGCAGAGCACGCTAAAGGTATCTGACCTCTGCTGCCGCATGGGTCTCACTGAAGCCATGTGTGCCTGTTTGTTTCATCTGTCCCGTCTGTCCGTCCGTCCCTCTCCATCTGTCTGATGTCTGTGGGGTTCTGGGGACAGCAGGATTTTAATATAATTTTTTTTTTTTTTTTACATTTTTATACAGTTTATTAAGCCTAACTGCTATCCCAGAATCCCATCCATGTTAGACGGAGTTCTCTGTCTGGTGTGGGAGGAGTGTATGGCCAAACTCTGCTCTAAACCCTGCTTTTCTGTGTGGGTTAATCTGGTTTTGGCTCTTCATGGTGCAATTGGGTCTTCTATGGTTGGGTCAGTCGACCCATGCCTCTGCTGTGACCCATCTCCCCCACCCCCCAGCTGCCGTGCTGTGCTTATTATGTTGGGGCAGAGACTTGCGTTGCATTGTGGGTGTAATAAACAGCTGTTCAATAGCACCATATGAGTTTAAAAAAAAAAAAGATTTACGATTGATCATTATTGATGAGCTAATGACAATTTTTGCCCAGTGTAAACCTGCTAATGGCCCTCTTAAACCAGTTAATGACCATCTTAAATCAGCTTATGAGCACGTCGACCAGCTTAGGCCATCTTAGACCACCTAATGACCATCTTAGACCAGCTAGTGACCATCTTAAACCAGCTAATGACTATCTTAGACCAGTTAATGAGCACGTAAGACCAGCTAATCGCCATTTTGACCAGCTCATAGCCAAACCCTGCTCTGAACCCTACTTCTCTATGTGGGTTAATCTGGTTTGGTGCCATTAGGTCTGCCTGTGGTTGGGTCTATGCCCTTGCTCTGTGTCTGTGGCTCTGCGTTTGCACCCCCCCAACCCTCACCACCGATCCCCTTGCTGTCCTCATTATGTTGGTGCTGAGCCTTGCGTTGCATTGTGGGTTTTATAAGCATCCCTTATCACTCAGACTTGAATGAAAGAAGGTTAATTGGGGGCACAAAGCCCCACAGTGCCAGAGGACTCCAGTCAAGTCTGAGCATGCTATGTGTGTTTGCGTGTGTGTGCCGCTCTGCTCATCTAGGCTGAGTCCACATCGCTTCACGTCTACGCTAACCGCCTGTGGCGTGCTTAATGACATCCTAACCACTGTATGAAGGAGACTGTATCTGTAATGCCCACCCTCCACTGCTCTCTCTCTTCACTCCCATAGGACAGGGAGGGCGAGGTAGCACTGATTGACAAGCTGCTGGCCAATCCTAAACTCACATCCTCAGAGTTCCAGGAATGGAAGAAAGTTTACATGGAGCTGTATTCAGGGGAGCCCCAGCGGGACCGTCAGCCCAGCCCTGCCTCTGAGCCCAGCCCTGCCACCACGCCTGAACCCGCCCCCCGCACGCCCTCCCTCTCGCACACGCACTCCTACATCGAGACTCACGTCTGATGCACACTTCAGACTCAAGAATAACACCACACTGTTTGAAGTAGTTGTCGCTCACTTGCACGGACTTTCAAGATAAAGTTTGGGGTGAATTGGTGTTTATGGATCTGATATTTTAATGATGTGGCTGTGAGGGATATATGATGATGCACTGATGCATGATTTGAAAATGCAGTTAAATTGTTTCGTAATTATTCTACAATTACCAAGAGGCCCAGATTATATGCACAATAAATTGTCTTAATTTATTGTGCATATAATCTGGGCCTCTGGGTAATTGTATAATCAGTTATGTTCTGATTATATGTGCTATATTATATTATGTGCTGATAATTTTATAATCAACTCAGTTATGAAATATAGTGTTTATGTTCTACTAGAATATCTGATGATTTTATTTAGGTATCTGCCAGTAATAGTTAATGTTTTCACCCCACTTGATTTGAAAAAGGGCTTTTTCTGTCTGTGTGAGCTTTTTGGATTAGTATCTTACTAATATATTAATATGCTTATACGTTTTTTTAAATGATTTCAAATTGGATCAGCCATCATCTAATGCTCACCAAAAAGTTCCTGATCGATGATTTAATAACACTGTTAAATCTCAAAATGAAAATCCATTATAATTTTGTGATGCCTAAATTCACATTAAAAGTGTATTTTAAACAATTTATTTTAGTTTTTAGTGTTTTATTAGAAAAAAAAATGCATAGAATTAAAATTTTGGGCATGAAAATATTGGATCAGCTGTAATTTTACTATCTGTGATTATTATATAATCTCAAAAATTATAAAGATATATTGTAATTATTAATTATATTGTACTGTTATCCCTCACAGTCTCGTTTTCATTCACATGAAATGGTCCTTTAACACAAATTCCCTTCTCACTTTTCCTTGTACTTTCCCATCCTGACAGCAATCGCAGACTCAATCTACTTTTTAAATACTTGAAAACACTGTTTACGCAGGCACAGATATCTGTACACTCTCAATGGCTCAACTCACAACCAACGGGCTTCAGAGTATGCCACTTCTGCACATGTGGTTGCCATGGTTACGAGTCCTCTAAGCGGCTCAGACGAGGAGAGACAAAGCCTTCGCACGGAGAACGAACCTGGCACACCTCTAGACAGGAATCAGAGCACTTGATCATGGAAATGGAAGCTTCGGACTGAACTCTGAGAGGAAATGCATGTCTGAGGCGGCCTTTGAACACTAAACGCACTGACTCTCACTCTGTTGTGCTGCTGTACCTGTGTTTGGCTGTCTTTTTGAAGCAAATCTCACAGTGGTCTCGCAGACGGTCATCACACAAGTTATCTGCCATGTTTATATGCCACTTAAGCATACCATATACTCTATTGTATCATACTAAATATTCATGATATGCTGTTATACATCGGCTGGCCCCGACTTATAGCATTTGTACATTTTCGTTGGAAGATGCGTGCGTGTGCATGAACATGGAAAACTAATGTGGTTACCTCGTCTAACCACAATCTCCGCAGGGTCCTTTAATATACCAAGAAAAGGCATTTAAAGAAATATTCGTGGTTCAAAATCAGTTAATTTCTATTCACAGCTTCCGTGGCTTGGTGTTTTTCACCACCGTCAGTAATTTTGACTCGACTCATAGTAAAGCTCTCAGAATGGAAGTCTATGGGACAAGGCAATGGAACATTTTCAGGCAGAAATGTGCAGCTTGGATTCTTGTTAATGTGCTTATATCAATTCTTCCATACAAAAATATAAAGTTGTGAGACTTCTGGGAATTCCTGAGGGTGGATTTGATTTACACTTATTTGACAAAAGTTACGATGAAGGTTTACAGACATCACACAGTCAAAAGTTAAGACTGGAAATGACAAGGTCATACAGTATCCACAGATTAGTAAAGCTGTAGTAGTTTGTGAAACCTTATTAGTATTAAAATTATTGGATGCATAGACTAATGGTACCATATTCGATTGTTTTATTGTATCATTGGGGTACACATCAGCAAATATTAAATCTGTAAAATGTTGTGATGCCTAAATTTAATGCATTTGAATGCAAATATATGTGAACTGAGTTTATTTGTAACTTATTTAGAATATTCTTTTATTTAACACACAAGTATTTTTTCAAAAAAACAGAAATAAATTATTGGCTTATCCATTTTGGCCAGTTGAAATATATCAGTGCATATCTAATCATAATGGTAATAATAACTTATTATATTTAGCAAAAAATATTATTCTGTTAGTCTCATGTTGACATGCATAATGTTAAAGTCCTGCGGATCTATGATTTTTTTTTAAATCATTTTAAAATTTATTGTGGTCCAGTGCTTTGTCCAAATCATAAAAAGTCAAAATAATTGAATGTAGTAATTTACAGAATGCCATAAATGCTGTAAATATTGTTCAGCTTGTTTTGAACCTGGAATATTTCTTCGCCTGTGCTGTAAACGCTTCTTGCCCGAGAGTAACACCTTGCTAAACTGGGCCTCTTGTAACGGATGAACATTCGGTGAAGTGTGTGTGCTTTGATTGGTAGAAAATAGCACAGGCTTCACTATCCTGAAGCAGTATTATCTCTGTACTCGAGTCAGATTGTGGAAGTTCTCTTTTCACTACGGTTCCCTGATAATATGAGGTCAAATTATGTGTCTGTGCAAAGGAAAGTTCATAATCAAAAACAGTTTCACACGGGATGCTCCTGGCAAAAATGTGCACCCTTAAGTGAGCAGAGACGGCACTGACAAGTGATTGTGTACCTGTGCAGAAGGTGTGCTGTTCATCTTTTATGCTTAATCTGAAGTTTTATGGATTTTTTAGTATTGTATACCTCCGTTTGGACTCAAGTTTTCCATTTCTACAAGCTGCCATGCAGTCGTCCTGTGCATTGCCATGGGTTTAGGGACATTTGTGTCAAGCAACAGTGAGATTTATGACAACCAAGGTCACCACGACACCGCTGGGCTCAGCCCAGGGACTCGCCGATCAAATCTGTTGCCCTGAACTCAACCCAGCATCTGTCAGAAGGAGCAGCTCAACTCCTGATATTACATCTATGTCAAAGTTCAGGAGGTCGTCCGTCTTTATAAACTCTCAAAGCAAAACATCTCTTGCTACATCGCTTGTAGATGTACCACAATCACATTTATGTTTTTTTTCTAAACCAAAGCTGCCAAATGATTTAATGTCAGTGTTTCAGCTGTCAGAAAGGCCATTCTCAGGCACTCGGCAAACACAAAGACGCTTTTTGTGAGGATTTTAAAGAACAATGAATGATCAGAAGAGTGTTTATTGTATGATAAGATGTGTATTATATGATGTACATTGATATTTCAGGTATGACTGACATGATGGAGCACATTTCATTCTGTACGTAATTAAGACTATATTAGCTTGATTTTGATTGAGTGACTCAGGTGCTAATGTGTCCATGGGAATCATGGGAATCCATTAGCTCTTAGAGAAAGTGATTACCAGTGGATATAGAGCTACTAGAACAGATGTCTATTGGTATTTTACTTTAGTAATATATCAAAGTTATTATTAATTTAGTGCAATTCATGTTATGTTTCCTTAGCAGTCCATTTTTTAACAAAGTTGTTGTACAACAATCTAGTTCATCAATATCTGTGCTGCTGCCTGTCTTAATTATGAATAGGGCATGTAATTTAGGCAGTGCAGTTTCCTACGTGTTGTGTTTAACGTACAACCTGGTAAAGTTTACTTTATTTATGACATTATTTAAAAAGAGTTATTGCTTTATCCAGATTTAAGTGTGGTTATACAGTACCTAGAGTCAATAAACTTTTATGGATGTAATCATGCTCTATTTATTGTATATGCATGTGTTTTTTTATATGCTGGATACTTTAAATGAAGCAAGTTAGAATGCACATTGGAGAAAGGCGTCCTTGACATTGCCTGACAGGCTGCCCAAACTTTGAGGCTGGTAAATGCCTAGGTCTATATACCTGAAGAGAAAGCTGTCTGTTTGTGTTCCCATTCATCTTAATGGCATTTCCAGCCTTGATTCTGCCATTTTTGTTTATGGTCTGGCATTCAGTCCAAAATATATTTAAGCTGAAGCCAATTGATTCTGCCATTTTTTAATGGTCAGGCATTCAGTCCAAAATATATTTAAGCTTAAGCCAATCGCCTGATGAGTTAAGCGCTTGACAGCCTATCGGACAATGAGTAAAGGCACCTTTCTTCTGGTTAAAAATGGAGGCCCATGTCAAATTCCCAGAAAGCTATTCTTTTTTACTTCCAGAAGCTTGCTGGTTTCCAGGCCGTTCAGTGAAGGTAATGGACTCACATTTAATGGAGATGAACTGTTGAGTCTTAGCTTGAGAATGGGTCTCCTTTGTCACAGTTCAGATGGGAAATTCTGGTTTATTTCCTGGTTAGGAAACTATCCTAATTTTTTTTGTTTGTCTTATCTGGTGTAAACTAATCTAACTAGCAAACCAGGTTGGGCTGCTCATACTCAAATATTTTGCTATTTTTTCACTCATTTGCTCTTATTACTAGCACCCTTGTGTTAATGAGTACAAAAAACTTTTAAGTCTTGGATCAAATCTTTTATTAATGCATTTCTTTCTTTGCCGCTCATTTGCATTGAATCATTTGTAGAATTGTCATAACAAATGTCAATATTCATTGTACAGACTCAATGCTCAATGCTGCTTGAAATGCCAACACTGAAATGGTTACTACTACTACTACTTTTGAACTGATTCATCTGAATCAATTTGAACTTACAGAAATGAATCAAACTGGCAACCTCTTCTACTGAAGGGGAAAAACAAACATGCATTATTTCATTAAAACATCTTTTTTGTTGTTTTTTGTTGTACAAATATATAAACTGTTATAAAATTATAAATTATGAATTTTTGATATATCATCCAGCCTAGTGACTACTATTGATGTATATCGCACTGTTTTGCAACATTTCTGCTCTTCACAATTTGCAATTCACCTTAGTTATATTGGTTTTCCAGTCACACTATATTATCTGTGACTGAGAATGCAGGGCCTTACATTTGAGCTGTCGGATATACATGCATGCCTATGCAGTTTTGTTTATCATTGCTCACTAAAAATCTCATCCTAATTTGGCTTGTCTGCATCCCACACACATTCAGTGGTCTTGACACTTGTCCTTGCCCGCTCTGAATTCCCATGTACCCTTCCAAATCAATGGTCTAATTTGGCTTTCTCTCGAAGCATCTGTGAGTGTACTCTGTGAGTGTCTTTTCTACTATCCATAGTCTGTATCCAGCATTCATGACAGCTGTCCCTCTGTCACAAGACATTATGAGTGTCACCTTTGATCTTCACACAGTGCCAAATTGTCAAATCTTGTCCAAACTGGACTTCAAGTGCACACTTTATCTCTGTTTTTGCTTTTCTGTTTGTCCTTTCTTCGTGCCTTTCAAGAGTGTGCAGTGGTCTGATATGTAATCTTTAGTTCTCTAGTGTCCATTCAGGAACTATTCCATTTTTCAGGACAAAGTCTTTATGACAATTCATCTATCAATGTCACGACTTTCTCTACCCTATTCATAGTGACCTACTTTCAGGAGTTCCTTACTTCCATACTTGACAGCATTTTACCCCCACCAAGGTCTTCTGTATCTGGGTAAATAGACTCCTGTTTTCCATGCCTCTTTACAATCCATGTATCCATGATACAAAGAATGCCCTGGTCCATCAACTCTCTGTGCCCCATGACAGCCATCTGTTTGTCTGTGTGTATGTGGGATGGTGTTTGTAATTGACTTTTAGGTCTCCGGAGGGTCTTGAAGAGTCATTATGGCACACTGAATCCCACACAAGGGCACTGGTAGTTTACACACTTCCCTCCAGGCATCATATTCTGTGTCATACTCTAGCACGTTTGTTGTACACACCTCCTGTCCTTCCTGCCATTTTCTGCCTCCAAACATAAGCACGCGTCTGCCCCCTGTTGCGGTCAAACCATAGCAGAAGCGGTCATTCAGTAGGGGTTTTAGACGGGTCCACAGGTCTTGCTCAGGACTGTAGCGTTCAATGTCACAGAAGGGCTCATACATTCCCAAAAAGGTGTAAATTCTTCCCCTCACTGTTGCCATCTGGTGGCCGAATCTAGCAATGGACATGTTACAACGTCTCTGCCAGGCATCCCCCTCAACCGAATTCAAAAACAACACATCTTTGCTGCTCTCCGGGTTGTTGATATGAATGCCACCGGAGATGTAGATTCCTGTTCCAACAGTGGCACAGGCGTGCCCATGAACTGAATTTGGTAGGGATACACCACTGCGCCAGCACCCTTCACTCATATCGTACCTTTCCACAGATGACAAAGCAGGTTCACCCTTCTCGCCCCGTCCCCCAATAGCAAAAATAACACTTTCCATCACACAGCAGGCAAACTGTGCCCTCTTCTGTAAGAGTGGTTCCATCTCCTCCCACTTCTCAAACCGTGGGTCATAGCGCCACACCTTGTCAGTGACAGTCATCACAGCACTCTTCTCGTTCTCCTCATCCACCTGCACCACCTCACCACCTAGTACAAATAAGAAGTTCCCAACAACGCATACTCCCTGGTGCTGTATCTTATTTGGTAGTGATCCTGAAAGTGGCTGGAATTTCTTGCTGCGAGGTTCGTAAGTTAGGATCTGATTCTGGGGTCTGTTTGCTTCTGGTCCTCCTCCTATCAGAAGAATCTTGCTGCTTATGGCTCTTAGGCTGGTGTGGACACTTTGAAGTAGAGGTTGTAAGGGACCCTGAAGGTGGTAGTTAAGCGCTTTCTGCACTAGGCTACGGATGAAGGGTGTACGTAGAGCAGGTTTAAGTGCACTAAGTTGAGACAGCTCTTCAGATGGCACCAAACCAAATCGGATCCGACTGAGCAATGCATTACTTTGCAGGGCAGATTGCGGGTTGCACTCTAGCCAGTCCAAAACCAGCCGTAGAAGTTCTGTCTCCTTCACTCCTGGCATCTCCTCGGCTACAAGCACCTCTTGCAGAGAATCAAGGTTTAACTCCATTATCTCAGTCTTGTATTCCTCACTTGCAAGAATTCTGCACATGTTTCTGGCAATGAAAGAGTTGCTGTCATTGAAGGCTTCAGAAAGGCCATAGCATGCTGCTATGTTAGCAAAAAAGCAGCAATTGTCAGGAGTTATGCTCTCTGAGATGTACTGAGTGCAAAGATCCACAGCAGGAGTGATCTGTAGATAGCAGGCAGCCTGCACTGTGACCTCCAAAGTAGAGGGTGACAGTGAGATCCATGAGGTGTAGATGAAGTCCAGTATCTGCTCCAGGCCCAGAGATGACAGGGCTGGCAAGCTGATGGTGTGAGTACTGGATTCCAGAGTGTAGTCTTGGAACATAGACCAGAAGTAGTCACTGGAACAGGCTAGTAAAGTGCGATGAGCAGGGAACTCCACACCTTCCGCCTCCAAAACAACATCGCACATTCGACCCTCGAGACGCAAGCTCTGGTACCGAGACAAAACACCTTCTCCATGAGTGCTGCTGAGCATCAGATAATAATTCATCACTAGGAGAAGAAGGAAGAGAGATAAGGATGACCAGGGTCAAGAACAGGTGAGTTAGAGAGAGAAAGGAAGGTCCTGCAAAAGTAAAGAAGACTGAAGGAAGAAAAGGTCCGCCGCACCAGCCGCGTCTGTTGGGATGTGGTCCATGACTTCTGCAGGCATCAAATGCGTAAACTTGTAAAGGGGAGGGTCAACCATTGCTCCTCCACCCAGTGGGCAGCCTCCAAACCTCTTGCCTCAACAAGATAGGCATGTGCTTTCTACCAGATCTCTAAAAGGGAGGGGAGAATGGATGGGCAGACATTTTGGGGCCACAAGGGGTAAACAGCCTCGAGCTAGTTGCCCTTTCCCTTTAGTTAGATGGGAACACAGAGAGCGGGAGGGATCATGCCGGGGGTTTATTATGATATGCAGATCTGAAGTCATCCCTTGATAAATACAGGAGTTAGTCAGCACTGTGGATTTCTGCCTGTCGCCACTAGAAGCCACATTTCATGAAGGTGACAGGAATAGAAACTCAGAGGGACAGTCAGGACACAGTCTAGCCCCCCCCCCCCCCCAAAAAAAAAAGAAAGACAGAAAGAGAAAGGATTGACAGTGATAATCCTGTCAATGAGAACCATAGGGTGATTGTTCAGACAATCTCAGTAAGGCACAAAGAGACAATAAAATTTGTCTTATAACCACAGAGATGTTGGCTAGATTTCTGATGAGTGAGGTTGAATTATAGCCTAGTATTTGTGTGTAAGTCTGACCCACAGCGAAAAGGAAACATCCCACCCACGTGAACATCGTACCCTTCATTCTCCCTGAATAGCTACTGGCTCAAAGCTAGGATGGGGCAGCATCAGGCCAGGTTGCGAAGGGGGTATTAAGTATAAGAGTGACGGGTGATTATGACAGAGCTTTTCGTGTAATTTGCACACCCTCTCCTCATAGTTACACGGGTTTCTCCTCTGTCTAGGGTTTGCAATACAATGCTATATATTGTATTGCAAATGCTTGACAGTGGAGAAACATCTATCATAATGTAATTGGGAAATGGACTCATTTGTGAATTCGCTATCACTGGAGTGCAGCTGCAATAAGGTCATGATGAATCATATGGGGGTGTGTTTGAGTGCTATGTGTCTCAAGGAAATGATTTTGTAGACACTGTTTGTACTGCCAAATCCTGTGCATACTTCATAATCCATTCGGATTCTCGTTTTAAAATGAGTAATTGGCCTTTTAGGGACCTTGGCATTTCTTTTCCCATGCATCAGCAGAAATAACTGCCATGGTTTAAATTAGATGCATCAACTGTGCCGCACTTTTTATATTTCGTCAACAAAACCAGACTCCACTTCATTGCGTGCTTTAAGGTCTTTTGCAGGATCATACTCTCTTCCACCACTGCAAAATCTATTAATACAATTTATGATTTTATTTACACCTGATGGGTTTATTAGTGCATTTAATTGCATATTCAGATGATTTATGTGTCTAGGCACTTTGTGAGTGTGTTTGTGTTCGCAGGTGACCCTTCAGTCAAGAAATCTGCCAGACCTGAGTGGCTTTCTAAATATAACTATCTGTTCCTCCTGATAGGGGTTTTGTTTGGCTCAGGTGGTCATGGTGAACAATTTTGATAATAACTGGTGAGCATAAGGCTTTAGGTAAGAAAATCATTTTAATTGACAAACATATTTGATATATATACAGTTTGAAATGTATAATGTAAAGCATGTGATTGCACAGAAGGTGGCTATATCAAGGAATCGGCGGAAGGTGAGGTATGCTGAGCATTTCGGTGAGAAGTTTTAGGACTACAGACTCGCTCTCTTTGCATTGCATGTTGGGTAATGAGGGAATTATGAAGGCTTTGTTGATTAGTTGTTCCTTGCACCTCTGCCAGATGCTTAATCCTGAAATATTCCATTCCATATCTACTGTACATGATTGATAGGTCCTGTTCTACCGTTGTACTGGTTGTCTTTTGTAATGTTTGTGGCCATTTCTTTGCTCTCCTAGTTTTTCCAAATAGATAACAAGTCAAATTTTTAGAACTACTATTTTCCATTGTATGTGCCATTTTAGAATAAAAGCAAGTCTTCAAAACTATGAAACTACAAATAAAAATGTGCAAATTATGCTAAATAAAGGCTGTGTCCGAAATCTCCCACTACTCAGCCATGTGGACTATATAGTATAGTGAGCTTGACATTTTGTAGTGCTGTCCGAATGTCTAGTGATGATTATTATACCCTATATAGTCCACTCAATGTATCCCAGAATGCATTTTGAAAAGTAATGTACAACCGATGGTCAGTAACCCAAGCCCTACATACCATCATGCATTGGGCTGATCGTAAAAATGGCGGATGGATGACAAGGGGAGCAGCTCGACAATACAAATTTGTCAGACAAATGTAAGTTATGTTCTGTCTCCTTTAACTTAGGATATGTAGCTATTTATGTAGTAGTATCCAAAAGTGGTGTTTCTATTATGCTGGTGAGCTCACTACATAGTGCTCTACTCCCTACCCCCTACATAGGTAGTGGTTTGAGTGGAGATTTCGGACACAGCCAAAGATTCTTCAAAGTTGCCACCCTGCATCCTGGGAAGCTTTTTCAAAAGGCTTGAATATATTTCCATGTACGCTGAATACTTGTTGGTTGTATGTCTTTCACTTCGCAATCCAATTAACTTCACAAAACGTTGTCTTAAATCCAGTCAGACATTTGTATTTGTATGGTGCTTTTCACAATACACATCGTTTCAAAGCAAACCCAAGAAAATAGAGCCTTACAAATGAAAGAAATACATGTGTAGACACAATTAATATGCATTGTACACGTTTCCCAGCTTTTGACTAATAGCTCCTAATGCAGACTTACTCTGATCCAAGGAGCGATAGCCTACATGATCTTTAATAAGGACACTTTCACCCAAAGGTCATGACACCTGCTGCTAAAACTACAGATTGCAGATCACTGTAGATCACAGAACAGAACATACACATGCGATGTGATTTACAAGCGAGAAGATGAGCATCTTCGCATTGTTAAACTAATCTCGGTTTATGTACATAACAAACTGATAGTGCGGCATTTGAAATCCAGTTCTATTTGTTCGAGGATAACAAGTGCTGGCTTCCTCCTACGGGTTTGCTCTTGGAGAGAACGTGAAATCATGTTTTATTATGCAACAGCCTACTCATGTACTGCAACACACAAGAACAAAGCCATAGATAAAGAAAAAGTAGGGAGCGGAAACAAGCAGCTTGGCCATTTTAAATACGGCTGTCAATCGGAGGAAATTGAATCAATTAAACGCATGACTTTCTGATTAGTTCAAATTTGCCGCAATTATTTGCATTGCATAATAATCACTCTAGATGTAAAATGTATCAAGAACATTGATTTTATGGTGTCACATTTTAACGAGTTAAGACTGAAGAATCTGGCTGAAGAATGGAGGAACTTTAAGATGAATCAATGCCTTCAGTCTCATATATTCTATTTTTAGACTCATTTATGGTAGTAAGAGAATACAGAACTACTATAAAATCAAACTTAAAGGGATAGTGACAGAATTTTCATTTTGAGTAAACTATCCCTTTAAGTTAACACACAAAGAACATTTTTAAACGAAAAAATACAGAATATGATGCTGGGTGGATGACCTATTTTTTGACAGACAAAAACATGGTTCAGAGCTTTGAATTGCTCAATTCCCATCAGTCTTTGCATCGATAGAATCCATCCCCTTTCTTCATTCTCAGGTCAGTTGGTAGTGTCATCATTAAGGCTTGCCAATGATTCCGTTGCGACCGATTCTCTGGGGGGTTTTGTTAAATACATGAATCTGATTGGATGGAGACCGTAATCAAAGCCTTGGATCAATTGGGGGTGGAGTCACCTGTGAAAATGAGAATTGATTAAATGGGTTTACAAGCAATAAAAACATGGTATAATCTCGAGGTAGTTTGCTTGGCGAAATTTGTTTTTAATTCTGTCACACATAGAGTGGGTCACACACAGTGCATGTTTTGCTCTATAATAGGAAAGTCTTGTGAGGCATCCTGGGACTGCACACAACAGACTGACTTTCACTGCCCCACTGATCTGTGGAGTATTAATAGAGCCTGATTCACCATCATACCCCTTTACACACTCAAAGATAGCTAATAACACACTCCAGCATGCATGCTAACACACGTGCTAACTACTTTTAGCTACTGACACCATGTGGTCATGTGTGTGAACAGCATTGGACCTTCCTAAATTATTTCAGTGTGGTGTGTTTTGAAAACCGATTGCTCTTGTGTTTCTGCTTCTGTGTGTGTGTAAGATCAAGAAGAAGCAACAATGTTACAATTTTTGACTAACCAAAAATGGTAGATGGGGAAAATGGGTGTGAGTGTGTATATTTGACTGTCAGATTTACCTGTGTTGTTTAGTCTTTGGTGACCCATTTGAGTTCACTTTTTACATTCTGGATCTCGGAGAGGTTCACGGCGGGGCCCGGTAGTTTCACAGGCCCGGGAAGGGGCTTTTTCTCCTCTGGAGTGACTGGGGATGGCTATGAAACAAACAGTTGTTGGAGATATTACTGAGTGGCCCTCACAAAATCTCTCAACAATGAATTTGTCATATTTTACCCCCAAAATAAAAAGACTATTTTAGGTCCAATAACTGATAGTTAATATTATTTTTAACAAACACATTTGCCATATATATATATATATATATATATATATATGCATTTTCACCATATAGACTTTCTATAAGATAAACATTTAAATGGTTTATTAGTAATTGTATATATATTTTTTATATATTTATAAATGTGGAAAAAAATCTGTTTATTAGTACTTTATTACAAGGATAATGTAAATTAATTATATGAAGTCAACATTACTGCAATTTATCACAAAGCAAAACAATCTCAGTGGTCTAAAATAAGATTTCTTCATGTGAAATATTTAATTTATTTCAATTGAAATGTGATCTGGACATGATTATAAATATCTTTATGTGTGTCTATTTACCCAATTGTGTAAGTGTGTGCATGTGTGATTGTTTCCAGCAGAATCTGACCTCCTCTGTGTCTACTGTATCTTCTCTCCTCTTCACAGGATGTCCCGCCCCAGGACGCAGAGCCCCCATTGGAATATTAAGGTTGGCCTTTGAGACAGACAAGAAAATACACTGAGACAGTTACCATCGCCTCACAGGGACACTGCTCATTTACTCCTGTAACCACACCACAATACCAAAGTCATTTAAGCTCATGCAATATTGTGTAGTTGTCGAAACCAAATTAACCTTTCCACAAAACCTGCTGGACGTGTCTTCTTGCTAGAGTTTGTATTTCATAAAGAGCAAAGTGCCTGTATGGAAATGAGCTGCGGGCAACAGATAAAACAGTGAGATGACAGACATCTCTCTGTTTGCTGAAGCCTGAAGCAGACAGCCTGTCTTTTTTTTTTTTGTTTAGTTTGGTCTGGTCTTTATTAAATGCGTCTAAATTCTGTATTCTGAAAACGAAATTCCAAATGTGAAAATGTAAATGTGTTTACAAATTTACACTTGGAAGAAACCCTGAAAGGATCAGGATTCTTGCCACATTTCTTCTCATATATTTTTTTAGCATGTTTGTCTTAGCCGTTCCATTATTTGTGGGTGAACCTCACGGAAACCAGGTCACATAAAAAAATATATATTTAGCATAAATAGTATTATTTTCATGACAACTAAACACATTTCCCCCAAAATTCTTATTAACAACTGTCATTTTCAACTTTATTTTCATATAATTATAAATATAATTTAAAATAAATATATTTTCACATAACAAAAGTGGTTTTATTTGCTCTTAGAACACTCTATATAGAACCCTCGGGTTCTTGGCTCAATTTTAAAGAATGCTTTATGTCAAAAAGGTTCAATCTTAAAGGATTGCATAATAATTTTATTAAAAACAAAATGAATTTATTCAATCTAAATCCATAAAATGATCCCATGATGGGAACCGCTAAAAATAACCCTTTCTTCTAAGAGTGCAGAACCTCAAAGACTTATTTACTTTGTCATTTTCCTGCTGTATTGGTCACACAAGGTCAAACACTCGATTCATTTTACAAATTTGCCATTTCGTGTTTTGATTAGAGCATGTGATCAAACCCTCAACCAATCGCAAACGCCCCTAAAGAGCAGACTTCACTCCAGTTTTGCATGCATTTCATGGTCCAGTACATCAAATTTGTTATGTCTTTGGCTCTCCATCAATATAAGCTGCTGGATGAAGTATTTAGGCTGTACAGTAGTGACCACGTGCTCCTGTCTTTGCATGCATGACCTCTCTTCCTTTTGTCTGTGTTTTCTGATGGACTATCTCCTGAATCTTGAGTATTTTGGGGCTTTTTATGAATTTGTGTGTATATGGAGAGTTTTTATGGAAAGATAAATGTGTCTATTTTTGGCTGAATTGTTCAGTGTTTGTAAGAATTGTCTCTACACTGTGGTGAACTGTTATAAGAGTGTCTACGATATCGCTCCTTGCCAGACACATATATACAGTAGTGGTCATAATTAATGGCACACCTGGTAAATATGATCAAAAATGGCTGTAAAAAAATAAATCTTAGGATTTATTTATCCCATTTACCAGGGGTGCCATTAATTATGACAACTGTGTATATGTGTGTGTGTGTACGCACAACACTTTGAATTTCTGCATAAATTGGTCATAACGTGATCTGATCGCATCAACTGTCCAGTCTGCTTAAATTACAAACAACACATTCTTATATATTTATTGAAAACAAAAGAACGTTTGATGGAGGTTATGCTGCCTCCTAAGGATCTACAATATAGATATCACATACTTTTTCATTGTTTTCACAGTGTGCTCCATAAAGACATGACAAAATACCTTTTTTGTTGTTTAAGCAAACTTGTTGATGACCATATCACATTTTTAACCACTTTATGCAGAAATCCATGTAAATTCACAGGGTTCGCATATGTTTTGCATCCACTGTATCAAAAGTGAAAAGGCTATAAGGATTGAAGTCTATTTTTATATCAATTGTTTCTGTTTAGATAAGAAAGGTAAAGCTGGACACACATCAACAACATGCAGTAATGCATTTCATTTACTTGTCAATGGCCTTGTGTACTGTAATGCATTGTACTGTACATTGAAATGTGTTTTTACAGTTATAACTCAGTGTTCAAAATAGGGAACTGGCTTTTCAGATTAAAATCTCTTATGTTGACGTGTTTGAGTGTTTTTGAGAAAAGAGGAAAAGCTCCATTTTGTGCCACTAAAATCAACACAAAAGCTCTCTGACTGTTCTTAAATTATGTGCAAACAAAACACACACACACACACCATTTACTCACCTGCAGGGCTTTGACATTGGTCGACGGCTGTTTAGACATTCTGTGCAGTTGTGTCCGCGTTTCTGCAGTAAAAAGGACAGGAATAGACTGAATGCATTGATCAGGTGGATAGACTGGCCTGCTGTGGGTTTGAATGCATGTATTTTGTCTGGGGAAAAGTAAAGCCCCCCTGCGGCTCTCAGGTGCCCGTGGATAGTCTTTCAGTTGCTTAGTGACTCCTGCAGTGGGGAGCAGGTAGCAGCTCTTACCCCTGAATCATTTATGTTAACATGGAGAGGACAGGGCTGGGATAACACACACCTACACACTCTTTATACTGGATATGGAACATGAGGTGGAATATACTAATGTTGTAAATGAATATATGCATAATGCTATAGTTCAGCATGAATTTTGGATGGACATTTGAGGTGTATTGCTCAGTGGCTGCTCAAGGTCTTGGTATGGGATGAGAAATATGAGTTCATATTTGAGAAATGGATGACTTATATCCCCAGTTTTGCAGACAAGGCTTAAGTTTTGTCCCATGTTTGAGCTGTTTAAACTGAAAGCAACTTGCAATGACCTACTTATTTTAATATATGCCAGAGTCATTGTTTTGTCTCACGAGAGACTTAATATTCAGACTAGAGGTTAACAAATAGCCTATCAATGGATATTTATAATACAATATATTGATTCAGACAGTAGCCTATATCAGTCAGTCTCAGCGTTAACTGAAAATTATAATTGAATATCAAAAATGCCTAACATAATAATGATGCATGGCAGTGAAAAGGCACCATTTCCCACAAATGACCCATGGGGAACACTCTAGACATTTGAAGAGAATACATTTACATACTTGGCAACACAAACCGACACGCAAACAAACGCATTTCACCATCACACTTCAAACCGAGCAGAATGAAGGTTGAATCACTCTAATTTGTGTTTCCGAAAGGAAGCTATTCAGAAATACGTAAAATCATCTAGTGACCTAATAAACAGAGCTGTAGGCAGATGAGCATTGATTATGTGCTTGCGGGGAGCTTTCTGCCCATAATTTGCTCGGTTATTCTGCTGATTAAACGTCCCGCTGAAAACACCTGGCATATAAGAGGAATCCTCCAGTGAACTATACAGCCATCCAAATGCATTTGCAATATTATAACAAATCTTTCAATGTCTCCCTCCCTCCCAAACTTAACATTGGTCTTGGGGCAGATCAACCAAATCATGTCGGTTGGGGCTCACAGAGAGGTTCACAACCATAGCAACCGTTTTGTTTGCACATCAAGGGCTTTAAGTGGTGTGGAGTCACTACCGAGCATTGAGCTAAATTTACCTAGCACTACGGCAGCTGTCTGACACTGCTCCAAAATACCCTCCTTAAAGGGATGCTTCACCCAAAAATAATCCTGTCATCATTTACTCACAGCCTCATGTTGTTCCAAACCTGTATGAGTTTCTTTTGTTCAGCTGAACACAAAAGATGATATTTTGAAGAATATGCGGAAACCAAACCATGGTTATCATGACTTGCAATGGAAGTCAATGATGCCCATCAACTGTTTGGTTGCCCATATTCTTCAAAATATCATCTTTTTTGTTCAGCAGAAGGAAGAAATTCCTTCTGGAATGTTTGGGGGAGTAAATGATGACAGAATTTTCATTTTTGGGTGAACAGTGTCTTAAAACTCGTCAGTGTTCAAAATGGCTAACAATACTGATACTGCCAATATATAAAAAGCATCTAATTACAGCATAAAACTTGGATCAAACTACCTTTAGACTAGAAGAAAAAAATCTAACATTTTATTTTTGGTTCCTAGATTTGGATCCTAGATCAATTCCACCACCTACAGTAAAACACAAACCAGCCCACCAGATGCCGAAATCTCACACTGAATATTGCATTTCCAAAAATTCCCACAATGCTTTCACGGGCACAATTTATTTGCATTGCTGGAAACCTCAGAAGCTCTAGGCCTTTCCAACATGTCTGACAAAAATGATCGCTATCTTTAATTTTTCAAAATGAAATGTTTATTTGACACTGCACCTGATATCCAACTGTGTTGATGAGCAGTTCTTTCGACATATTAACTGAATTTAACATTCAGAATAACACTGTTTATTATGTAAATCATCAAACGTCATCACAGTCCTATGGTTAGATGAGATGTCTACTGCAGGAAAACCACAAGATAGACAGAAAAAGTATCATTTACATGCATATCAAAGAATGCTAATGCTTATGTAAAGGCAAAGCTACAGTTTACAGTTAAACCTTCCTGTTGTTCCATAGTGTGTCATTGGCCGAATCTTGCCAGGCTTGAGTCATTCTCACAAACAAGTCCCGACTGCCCACAAACAAAAAATATACATCCTTATGTAATTAGTAGGAGAGTACATTTACAGAAAGTTTGAAGAAATCTAGAAGTCCATTTAAAAAATTTGATTTAAACAAATTGTATTGGTTTCATTATATCATCATATCACTATATTGCATAATTTACCTAAAGAAAGCCCGTCCCCTATATTCAATGTGACCTTTAGCACCGTTATAGTTTCACACACATACACATGAACACACACATCTTCCCTCTGCGTTCTGCCCTCAAAAAAAAGTTGCATACCTGCTGCCGTAACAGTAAACCGCTGTTCCCTGTTGTGAGACAGACAGGACAAATGCCAATCTCTCTCTCTCTTTCTCTCTCTCTTTTCAGACTAAAGCAGTCTTGACTTCTGTTGTCCACGGTCCTGGTTTTGTTCAACACCTCTGTCTCTCTTTCTTTCCCTCACTGCAAGCTGTAGGGTAGTAGGGGATTCTGCACATATCTGGGATTTGTTCACACTATAAATAGTAGTGTGATACACAGAGGGGACCTGCTTTCTGTCCACCCTGACTGTTCACTTCACTGACAGCCGTTTATGCATACTGTATATGCCCTATCATGTACACTATATACACTATATACACACAGTGTGGTCCTTAGTCCAAAGAACAGTGAGAATCTGGGATTTAAAATGTATTTTAAACATGAAAATAAAGTTTTGGAAAAGAATTAATCAAGTAGGCTACATTAGTGACATCGGTCATGTGACTCCTCCATCATACAGATCAGATGATTTTGCTTCCATCGAAACACAATATGCTCTTTCTTTCTTTCTTTTTCAAATGATGCAGGATAAAAAAATATTTTATATTATTAATAGAAATAATTAAACTTGCCAAGGATCAATAATATATAAGGTTATATCAAATATTAATACACATACATATATATATATATATATATAGAGAGAGAGAGAGAGAGAGAGAGAGAGAGAGAGAGAGAGATTGTGTACTGTGTATACATTATACACACACAAATAAAATAAACTAGCCTAAAATAAATGAAATAATATATATTAATATATTGATAATAACGATATTTTAAACAAACTTAATGTTAATTATCCATCCATCCATCTATCTATCCATCTAATATTAAGTATATAACATTATGTTAATTTATATTTTTATTGATATAATATATGCTTATTTATATTATTAATAATACTATATATATATATATATATATATATATATATATATACTTTTTTTATATATATATTAAATATATAAACTTGCCTAAGCATCTCAGGCTTTTCAACCCCCACTGTATATGCACACCAGAACACAGAATTGAAATTGTCACTGCTTGTTACATTTTCATGTATAATGTGTACTAAGGGTATATTTAGTAGACTATAACCTAGATCGAAATGTCCTCGATATGCCTGAACATAAGAGAGAATGTACAACTTAAAGCTGCAGTACTATATAGCAGATAATGAATGTGGAAGAAAAAAGAGAGTTCAGAAAGAGTGAACGGTGACAGACGAGTACACTTTGGCTTTGCATGACACAGGACCCTGACATCATGACCCCACTGTGCCCTTACCTGTTCAGCTGCCAGCGTGAGGTCCACACCTCCTCACTGCTTTCTGTTCTGATATGATGCCCAGTCAAAAGCCCTGCCTGTTCTCTGTGAGGTCCTCTTCTGTACTCTTCAACGCAGTCAGAGAATCACTGTGCGACAATACTTATTAAGATCATGACCTAATTTAGGCTCCAGCATGCAGAGCCCAGGGAGACGTCTGATTGGCCCGTGGTTTGACATGACGACCCATTCCCAGTGGTAGCAGCATTGCCAGTTTAGAGGAGTTTCAGATCTTAATCTAGGCTGATTTTAACCCACAACTGGACAGGTATAAACAAACGATGGAAGCCGCACATAAATTCCCTGGAAAATGTAGGTGTCTTAAACTTTGTGCCAATACCTGCAAGAAAATGACTGAGGTGCCCTTGAGCAAGACACCTAACCCCCAATCGCTCCCCGGGCTCCACAGAAAAAATGGCTGCCCACTGCTCCGAGTGTGTGTTCACGGTTTGCAATGTGAGTGTTCACTCACTGCTCGCATACTAACTTGGATGGGTTAAATGTAGAGGACAAATTCCGATTAATTGGCCTTCACATGTCACTTTCACTTTCAGCGCACTGGTAAAATGTACAGTATACTTTGCATGCATAAGATTAAGCGTCTTCCAAATCCATAATTGCTCAATATTATTGGACTGAATGTGTATACTGTACTAAACTTAACATTTGCAAGAGTAAATATCAAACCACAAACATAAAATATAAAAAAATTATAAAAACATCTTTTGTCCTTACCTGGTACCACTCAGACTTGGCGAGTGATCCTGCTCACCCAGTTCCTTCAACGCTGAGTACAAAGCTCTACTGGAGCCACAGCTGATGGAAAGGTGTCCTCAGACAGCAGAGCTATGCAAATCCTTACCTGAATTCTCCTCCCACACCTGGCATCACAAACTTCCTGCTAATCCTGCCAGTCAGTATACCGTAAGTCAAACATAATAAAATTATGATCAATATGGTTAAATGGGCAATTATTTCTTGAGCCTATTGGAATCTTTTTAATGTGCATGTAACAATGCAAAAATCCCACTTGAAAGTGGCTAAATGCATGGTTGAACGATGCGAATATTGTTGAAGTTCATTAACTGGTCTCAAAAGTGGAGTGTCATATCATATTTAGCAGCATGGACTGTCCTTTCAATGTCTGTTGTCTTTTATTTTACATTTATCCGTCCTTGTGGGCACATGGCATTATGAAGCCAGCGGCCTCCTCTCTAATGTAAGAATAAAAGGCTGCAATAATTGCTGCCTATCTAGACCACCATCTCAGATAATAAATCATTTCATAAAACCTTTTGAAGCCTGAGGGGCAGACAAGATCACTCCCACCCAGAAAGGCTTGGTTCCCGGATGGAAATGTTTGCATGGACTTCAACACTGTTGGACCTCTCATTTGTGCCTATGTGCTTTCTGTTCAAAGCCACAGCAATTTTCATTAAAGCACACTATAGCCTACAATAACAGTGACGTTTAGAGAAATATTTAGTTATTTACCATCTCATTTGTTGACTGGCATCATTTGCTTATAGATCTACAGTATTGCCTGATACATCTTTATTAAATTGCACATTCTTGTGCGTACAAAATGCACACAGAGAGAGAGAGAGAGAGAGAGAGAGAGAGAGAGAGAGAGAGAGAGAGAGAGAGAGAGAGAGAGAGAGAGAGAGAGAGAGAGAGAGAGAGAGAGAGAGAGAGAGAGAGAGAGAGAGAGAGAGAGAGTCCAAATTAGAAAGTGAAGAGCATATTTGTTCAGTTGGAAACTAAAGAGTAGTTCACAGATATGTCTATGGTGCAAATGAGATGTGATCTTATGCTTCAGCAAATGCAAATAAAAAAGCACATGTTTTTAGCTGCATTGTGAAGTAGCTGATCCCTAAAGCAGTCGGGGTTTTTTGAGCCGGATCTTTCAAATGAATTAGTTGAAGCAGTGTACAAAATTCTTGCTCGCCTTTTGGGGGCTACCTGACTGGATCATCTCTAAAGCCCACTCTAAAACATAGCCTACTGACTGGGGAGTCAGATACATCCCACGAATAGGCCTAGGACTAAACAATTTGTTCAGTGACCAAATCATATCGACTCTCAATGCATCAAACTCAACGACGTTTCACTGAACCAAGAACTCACATGTACAATTGATATTGTTGAGAGAACCCTCATGCTGAGTGTGAGCATTAGAAGTTAAATTACATTTTGACTAAAGGGATAAAAGTTACTTTTACGAAAATTAGACTGATTACAACTTAGCCTGCACTGAACCAATAAAATCGTACTGGAAATGTGTCACTTTAGGCAGATTGATCACCACACTCTGACTTTTTTACGTAAATGTAGGCTAACGTTACATTAACATGTTATTTACGTAAATGTAGGCTACATTAACACCTATTTAAATGACTTTGTTTTATGACGTGAAGCACAAAAAATACAATAAGATATTGTTATGATAAAACGCGATGAAGTAAAAGCATCACTGAATTATTTTAACCAGTCAGTTCAATAGAACCGATTCGCGGAAATGAGTCGAACTTAGCATCCTGCTCGATTGCTCTGTGACGGTGAGCCACTTCCATGCTCTGACAAATGTAAACACTCTGACTCGATTAGTAATACTCCGTAATGCACGCAAACGCGGAAGCGACGTACCACTGGTGTTTTGTGCACCGTACATGTGTGCTTGACAGTCGGAATTTTACGATCGTTTGTCTCCGGAATTGGCCGTTCTTGAGACGCATGCAGCCCGGTGTGCCATGATTCCCATAGCGGTGGTGGTGTGTGTGATGGGCGGGTGGTGTACCGTGTATCTAGCGGATACGCTGCTCCGGGTAAGCGGATCTTACCATTACAACCTTTAACTTGAGCTAACGAAAGAGAGTAAATTCCCCATCCACTGCTTAAACAATGAGATTGATCATAATCGATCCTTTGTAATGCGAATGTGATTCATTTGTCAAGAATATTTGATGATAATAGCGGCTTCTTTACCATGCAAAGAAGTAAAATGCTATGTTATGGCAGTAATACCAAGGTAGGATTATTGCAATATTTATGTACCATTGTATTTACCTATGTACATCTACAAAAAAGTTAAACATTTTGGACATTGTACCACGATACTGACATATTTTGACCTGTGCCATCTTTTTTGGGGCATTGGACCGTGTCTGTGGTACTACCATCCATAATCATAAAATACCAGTTTAATTTAAGTTACATTATATATCGCAATGTACCATGACCATCTGAATTAGCATAACTGTACCTAGTTATTATAACTTTAATAATTTAAAGTATAAAATGGCTTCAGTTCAGACATAACTTTGTGAGATCTCATATTATTTTACTGTAGCAACTACTGTATTAATTTTGGCATAAACTACTGTACTACCTTATTACCTATTTTATTTATAAGGGTGATAATTATAAAACCCTATCCCATCCTAAATAACCATCTTTTTTTTTTCTGTTTCACCTTCAGTCGTCCAGTTCAGTGAAGTGCCGCTATGAATCATGGTTATCTTCGAACGGATTCACTCTCTCCCCCTTCCATATCAAATGGCACACAGGCATCTTCAACCGTCTGTTTGCCAGATGTGCTCATCTCAACCCTCGCTTTCTGTACATCTGGTATGAGTTTTGTCATTACTGTTCTCAAATCAGTTATTTTGCATGTTTAGATGATAGTGACGCTTACCATGAGCTCTTTAACCTTTATTGCTGTATTATACAAAGCTGTCAGTACTTTGTTTCTGTGATTCTGAATGAAAGAAATGTAAATCATGTCATTGATATTTTCTGATAGGACTAACGATATCTTTAATTATGTACTGTAAAACATTTTGCTCTGTTTTGGTTTCCAACGGTGTGGCTGTTGACACGTTAAATCCACATTGATGATATATATTTAATTTTTTTTTTAGGACTTACAGCTTTAGTTTCTAAAAAAATCTTAAGCTGCTTATGAAGAGAGCACCCCCCCCCACACACACACACACACACACACACACACCCCAACATATCCACAATCACTCTTCTTTTGTTGTGTAAAATTTAAAATTTGTGTGTGTGTGTGTATATACCCACATTATATATTTATGTATTGCACATACATATGTATTGCACGTACGCAATTTTACATGCACATTGCAATCTGTTTCAGGTTCAGTGCTGGTATGGTGTTTGGGGTTTTGGCGATGTTTGGATCTGTGGTTCTCCTTAGCCAAACGTTGCTTCAGACTTTAAGTCAGATGTTGGCAGAGACGCCGGAGGGGTCCCACGAACAGATCTTGCAAGTGGTGGTGAGTGCAGAAGGGGTCTAATAGGGAATTAGAATGTGATGTTGGAGCATTTCTTTGAGCAGTGATGACCGGTCATGTCTTTTATTGTATTATCAGGTGCCTGGTGTGAACCTTCCTGTCAGTCAACTGGCCTATTTTTTCATCGCTATCTTGGTCAGTGGAGTCATACATGAGTTTGGCCATGGGGTGGCAGCACTGAGGTAAACAATCATCTTAAAGGTGCAGCATCGAACATTTTAACACTTATCCCACATTTATCCAGGATAAGATAAAGAATTTAAACTTTATGCAATTTCGTTTACTACACAACAACTTAAAGATGAAAATTTTCCCTAATGGAGCAAAAAATAAGCAAGAATGAATCTTTAGATTTTGCATAAATGCAAATATTTTGTTTACTTTTAGAAGAGTCACTTATGTTAAGTCTATTGGTTGTTTATATTTTCTTAATTTCTAGGAAGATTTCTTACCTATTATAGTTGTCTGCGTGCTCATTTGTGATAGATTGAGTCATTGTAAAGGTTTATCAGAAGTTTCAGGTCACAAACTCAAATCTCACCCCATTTGACTAGTAAATTTCTCTTAAGTTTTGTGTAATTTAAGCAAAGTGTGAGTTTCTGGGCTTTTGCCAATTATAATGCTGGTTATACCTGAAACACTATTTAAAAAAAATGGTGTGTTCTTAGTTTCTTTCTGCATATTCTTCTCAGGGAGCAGGTGAGGTTGAATGGTTTTGGCATGTTCATGTTTGTGGTTTATCCTGGAGCGTTTGTGGACCTCTTCACCACACATCTGAACCTCATTTCTCCAGTCCAGCAGCTCAGAATATTCTGCGCCGGTGAGACTTTTTAAACTAATGCACAATGCCACAAACCTTTCATATGCAATTTATAAAACTCACTACTAATTACTCTAGCAGCCTTTATAAAAGTATAACATTTTCCACTTGTCTGTCTTTGTGTAGGTGTGTGGCACAACTTCATGCTGTGTGTTGTGGCCCTCAGCTTCCTGTTCCTGCTGCCCATCCTGCTGTTCCCCTTGTATTACACTGGAGCAGGGGCGCTAGTCACTGAGGTGGTGGAGGTCAGCTCACCTTTCATCTTTAAGTTTTATGTTTTGACTGTGTCCTCAGAGTCTGAGATGAGTTTTTTTTTTTTTTTTTGTACAGGGTTCCCCGTCCAGTGGACCCCGTGGGCTGTTTCTAGGAGATCTGGTTACCCAGCTGGAGGACTGTACTGTTAGGGGAGTCCAAGACTGGCACAACTGCGTTTCGCATCTATCCCATAGTCCTCAGACGGGCTACTGTGTTCACACTGCCAAACTGCAGCACAGCTGGATGGCAGGAAGAGGTACTGACCTGCCATATACACTACCGGTCAAAAGTTTGGGGTCTGATTTTGTTTTTTAAAGAAATGAATGCTTTTATTCTGCAATGATGTATTAAATTGATCAAAAATGGCCATTCTGTTTTCAGAGCTTTCTGTTTGTTAATGAATTGTGATTTCCACAAAAATATTAAGCTGCACAACTGTTTTCAACATTGATAATAATCAGCATATTACAATTGGATCACTGAAGACTGGAGTAATGGCTGCTGAAAATTCAGCTTTGCATCACAGGAACACATTACATTTTAAAATATACTCAAACATTTTATATATAATAATATTTCTGTTTTACTGAATTTGAATTATTTTAAATCTTTAAATGCACAAGAGATTTTAACTTTAACCCCAAACTTTTTAAATGGTGGTGTAATTAAAGTTGTGCTGTTTAATTTAATATTACAAATATTTGTTAGCTCATTGTGATTTTTCTTCCACTCAGCATTTAAACGCCTCGATGGCACTATGGAGTGCTGTGGGAACAACAGCCTGACAGACCTCTGCTTCTCTTATAGTAATAACGTGGAGAGCAAATTGGTAAGATGGACACCCTTTTCTGAAATGCTCCTAGTTAGTATTTGGGAATTTTGTTCAAATTAGTACAGTTATAAAACCTATATTGAGATTCTATTTGCTCCTATTAATGTCAGCAATAAACTATATTGCAGTGTCAGATAATAGCACCTCATTGCTAAACACAGGGAACATTGAAACTGAAAATGAATCAAAGCTTTGCATGGCTGAAAATGATGAGCTATAATTTCTGAAAATTAAAACGGATCTATTTTTGCATTATTGACATTCGCCGTTATGCTTTTTATCTCACAAGAAGAAGGGGAAAAACAATTCTTGCAATTCTGTTTTTCTCCTCATGCTAGTTCGCCTGCCTGGCGGTCAGAAAAACCATTGAAGCGAGTCGTACATGTCGTACCAACACAGACTGTCAAACGGACTTCATCCCAAGCTTGTGTTTAATCCCATCTCTGGAGAACCAGACCAGACTGATCCGAGTCAAACACCCACCACAAGCAGACATGCTCTTTGTTGGCTACCCTTCACACCTACAGTACTCGGGTCAGACCTATTCTATTCTATTCTATTCTATTCTATTCAGTTTTATGCAAAAGTTCCTGAATATAAACGTGATGATTTCTTTATTTTTAGTGAGTCTCACCAACTTTGTTCCTCGTTTGGGCTTTCTTCATCCAGACCTGCCTGTCATGCTGGAGACTTTCTGCAAGTATCCTTCACACACAGTCAGTATTTACATCAGATAGCGCTCAAACGACGATTAGACTGGACACATGTACACAACAAAAATGTCTAAATACCTGTCTCGGCAAGTTTTCTCTTGGTTATTATGTCATAAGTGAACAGTTGAGAAACAAACCGGATGTTTGTCAGCTTTTTCGGTCCGTGCATTCGGTTTTAAAGTGACGGCAGACACCTAATATTCCTACAGTTGTCTGTCGTTAATGTTCATAATACAACAAAATACAGCTTTAACATAGATGGAACTATATTTAATTTTAACAGTAATTTTAAATAGTGTTATTCTACTTTTAGGCTTAATTATTAATTTCTTTGCCTGAATACTACTGTTAGACTTTAACTATACTTAGTATTCATGCCTGCTTGTAATTTGTACATTTGTTCTTATTTTATTACTGACTGTTCACTTGTTTTTAATAATGTTTGAACTTTATCAGTAAGGCTAGAAGTTTTTGATGTGGCCAACTGATTTAGTTATTTACAGGGATGCACGTATCGGCCGATATATGTTAATTTTTAATGTTCTCGTTATCGGCCTGGAAATAAAATGTGGCCAATATATTAAAGCCGATAAATAATGTATTATTCCCTTCAGCTGAGACACTTGTTGAGCACTGTTTATGTTTTTGAATTTCTTGAAATATGATTGAAATCTCTTTAAAAAATGAAAATATGGTTCGGTACAACATGTGCAGCGCAAATCTGTCATATCGGCTATACAACACTATAATGAGAACATCATTATAATCGTGCGCTTGGACATGGATTTAATTGTAAGACTTTTGTTTTTGTAATCAGGCTCTCAAAATTAGGTAAAAATTTGGATTTAAATTTATCGGCCGATATATCGGTTATCGGCTTTCAAATATAAAGAATTATCGGGTATCGGCCAAAATTTTCATTTCGGTGCATCCCTAGTTATTTATTTAGTTATCATCCGATTCCGAACCGCAAATGTTGTGGTCCGTTGCACCACTAGCAATCTGCCTCATTTATAAATGTTTGTTCTGCCTTAACCTCTTGTGTGTTGAGATATCTGGTGTCTTTGTCTGGGGCCCTGGCGGTGGTGAACGCTGTTCCTTGCTTTGCTCTGGACGGCCAGTGGATGCTCACAGCATTCCTAGAAGCTACGTTGAGCTCTGTGATCCTAGAGAGGAACAACCGAGAACTGATTGGCTTTTTTTTCCTGTTGGGGGGCAGTGCCCTTCTAGCGGCCAATGTAGCTCTGGGCCTGTGGATGGTCACTGCACGGTAACATTTAGCCATCTCCTCCAGTCAAACTGTTTGGGGGAAATGCTTACGGAAGACCCTTCTTGAACTCATGGAGGAAACGACTGGGTGGTTTTACCTTTGCTGGTACTTGCCAGGTTTTTCCCACCCTCAGAGTGCAACCAGAGGGGCAAGAGTGCTGCTGTACACAAGAAAACTCTTAATCAATAGGTTTGAATGGCTCATATAGAAACAAGCAGTAAAAGCTGCATGCTTTTACACTGTGACTTAAGGACAGCGCCATTAGTGCCCTCTTTAATAAATACTGTGCATTATCACACCTTGACATAAGTGTGTCTACTATATCATGTAGATGCAACCGGCTTACTGTATACACGGAGGATGTTAGGGCATTACTTGCCTGTTTTGCTTCCGTCTTCCTAAAGTAGGGTGAATTCAGGTTGATTAGGACACTTTTTCGACCGGAATTCACCCTATATAGGCACAAAAGTAAGTATGTGTAATTTTATGTTGTACATCAACCCAAACATGCGTAAATAAAGCCAAAATAAGGAAATTTGGGAAGAAAATAAAACATAAGTTAATGAAATGAATGTATATTACAGACACATAAGTAGTGACACGATTACAATAGTATCAGTAACTGAAAACTTTTGCTGTTGCGTGATGCTTCCACACCACTAGGTTTCAGTATAGAGTCCAAGATGGCTGCCATTAGCTAGCATAGCATCAACAATCTATATTTCAATGCATACAGCGTGAGCAAAATATACATTTGTAAATATAGTGACTATACACAGCATGACACTGCACAAATAAACATACTACTGCAGTATTGAACTTGAAAGAGTAGATTTAGTTGATTAGTCAGCAATTGAGTTGAGTTATAAGCTCTGCCACAGCTGTGAACTGAAAATGTCCACTTTTACACATGACAAGAGAAACCTATTGCTAAACATGCTCTAATGTGCATGTGAAGCGTTCATATAGGATCTGTATACTGTGAAGATTTTCCCCAAAAACAATTAGCCAGACTGCACTAAAATTGTTTTACTTGTTTTTAATGTACTTTCTGCTTGTTTTCTTATATATTTTTTTTAAATTTGTTGTCTCTGTTCACCTTCATGGCCCGTTGTACATGCGTTTATAAAACTCATTTACATGATCCTTCCTGTGTCATTGACTTATTTGTTTACAAAGAGGTCAGTGCTGCTCTGAACATATTTGGTAAGTGTGATGAACCCTCTTCCCATCTGAAACCCCGTCTGAAAACAGAGAATTTAAACAGAAGGAGAATTATTGTAAGAAATTCATCCATAAAAATTAAAATGGAAGCTTTATATGACTGATTGCAGAATGTTTTCTGCCAGTAGATGCCAGTATTATCCCATCTGATCTCGGGAAAAGCGTCTCATCCAAGTGTCGTTGGATCATTTGCTCTGATATTATGAACTTCAAGTAAGCCCTGGATCTCTGTAATACTGAATGCATTTACATTGTAAAACATCCACAGTGACTGACAAGCGGACACTGAATGATGTGAGGACATCTTGATTAACGGGGATGGAGAGAAGGCTTCATGGGTGAAAGGAATCTGACAGTGGAGTTGTTGTCAGGACTGTAAGAAAATGAGGATACAGTTGTGGCAATTGAACTGTGATGTCTGGGTGCGTCTGATGTCAGGAAAGGTGTCGCACAGAGAAGGGTTTAGTACATTTGTTGGCTGACTGCTACTTTCATTCTCAAGGACATCAGTATATGGATTGCTCTCAAAGTTGGTTGCTGTCAGTCAGCTAATGGCTACTGCATGTCTCTTTTCCCCTGCTGTAAGGCTCTATGGGAAAACGATGGCAATTATGTGGTCAGTTTGACAGCATTTATCATCTCAAGTGTATTTGAACTTGAGTTTTTTTTTTCATGCTTCGCTTTTCACATTGCTCATAGTTTATGGCCAATTTTATCTCATTCTATGGGAATTTTGGCCTTTTCATTTTTGTACAACCTTAATGATCTGCTTAATGTCAGAAATGTATTAATAACTATCTATAATTTGTTATGAATAAGCAGCATCAGTTCATGGAAATGGTCAATTAGAGTCTTGAGGAATGCTCTTTTAAATGACGACTCTCTGATACTAAAAGCACACTTTGAGAAAGGAACAGAAGTTCATGGGTCAAGCTGCAGTTTTCCCTAAAGTCCTTCTGTCAAGTTTTTTATGCACCAGCTTTCAGTTTCTGACTTCAGTTTGTATCTGAATCACATGGCATCCGATCATTGGTCAGTTCTGCTTCTGAAGATCTTCATCAACCTTGTCCGTGACTTCATGACTGAGATTATTATTAGTTGAGTGTTTCCTGTTGGAGGTCTAGACTCGGTTTATTCAAGGTTCTCATGTTAGAGTTGCTTCTTTTAGCTCAGGACTGCTATAAATAGCCGTCATTGTGCACGTTTCTGGGTTCTTTTTAGGGTTTCCTCAAAAGAAGGGTGTGTTGATGCTATATTTTGGATTTGCCCCTTGGGAAGACGGAGGACTGTATGTCTGTGCTATTTCAGAGTGAAAAATAATTACACATGGATGTGGTTGTGCGTAGGGAGACCAGACTCCTCCCCTCTTACCGTCACCCAGAAATCCTTGGGGCTGTTTATATATGCGTGCCTGTTCTTAGTTTAGGGGGGTGAACTAATTGCTGGCTGTATATATATATATGAAGAGTTCAGATGCAAAAGCCTCTAAGTGCCATTTGAAATTTTCTTCTAGAATGATAATTTTTATCAAGCTTGTATATTTAAGTTCAGTGATTTCACTTAAATGGCAATGATAATTACCTATTAATTGTTATTTAAGTGAAATTACTGAACTTAAATATACAAGTTTGATAAAAATCATCATTAAAGAAGAAAATTTCAAATGGCATTTAGAGGCTTTTGCATCTGAACTCTTCATATATATATATATATATATATATATATGAGGGATGAAATTACAATTATTTTGATGTCAATCTCCAGACCCCCATTGTGTGTGTATCCTTTCAACACATTATAAAAGATCTTTGTGTTTTTAGTATAACAGTCATTGAGTTTGTGTCATTTCTGTGACTCGGTACAGTATCAGTGTGTACATTCTGTATGTAGATAATAGGTCTCTTAGATGGACAATATGTGCATGTTTGTTGGTTTTTGAGAGAGGGAGAGATTGTTCTCAGCTTATGTACTTATCTTGAATTGGAAATATTTCTATTAGTCAACAAAACACATGAGAAGTGTTTTGTCCCAGGTAACGTGCCTGTCCCACAAACACAACGTTCATTAAACATATCATTAACAGCTATTTTTGTGAATGTAAAAGCCACTTATAGGTAATGAGCCTTGTTTTTCTTGTGGGCATGTGGTTAGCTGAGGCACCAACCATCTCATGTTGTCACATCTGCTCTTTTCTTTTGTAGAGCGAAGGCAGCTGCTTGATGGATAGGACTGCTTGATTCTGCCATAATACTTTAAATTGAAGGTTTGGCCTGATAAGCTTGGCTTTATATGCTGAGCTTGGGGCGCAGAAACCACACATCTGCAGCATATGACCAGTTTAGACAAATGACAATGCCAGTTCTATGAATATTTCTGCTGGAATACAAACTGTAAGTTGAAAGTGATGATGATGACGATGATGTTTTAGTGATTATATCCCTTACAAAAATGTACCATGTTAACTATATAGTTTCCACTAAAATACCAGTTCAACTAAAATAATACAGTAATCAGGTTACTAGAGCTATTGTTACTGATATTACTTGTAATAATATAACTGGGGGTTCAGGTATTCCCTAAATTATGGGGCCAAATGTACCTACAAGAAAGGCAATACAGAAGACTTTGTGGGGACATTTTTTGTTTCCCATGAGAAAAACAGCTTAAATAGTTGTTGTTGTTTTTTTGATGGGTATCTGTAGGGGTAGATGATAAAATATACAGTGTGTATCGTATAAAAATCTCCAGGGAAGGTCCCCATAAAACATGTAAATGTGCGTGCGAGCCTCGGTCTGTGTGTATCTCAGTGTAATGACACACTGTCAGTCTGTTTCTCTGCATACTGTAAACAGAGCAGTCGATGTATGAGGTTTCGCCCAAAGTTGTGACGTCAGTCCTTCCCCCATATCTCCCTCTCTCATTGGCTCACTCTTTCTCATGCAGTCCCCACATGTCCCATATCTCTAGCGCCTGTGTTTAAACTAATGTTTGTGTGTCGTTCTCTGTCTTAGCTCTAAATACCGGTTTCATCTGTAACGTCCCGTGCTGAGGACCGGACCCTCCCTCTCTGTAGTTGGTCTTCCTGACCACAGCCTCCTGTTCACTAACAACATAATGAGGCACGATACGCTCCCCCCCTGGAAAAATGATGTCTGTAAAAAGAAGCTTTCGCCTCCTCACTAACCACAATTGCTTTGTGTATAAATATAAGTATTTGAAAGGCAAGGCGCCGGTCTTTGTAAAGCTACTTGGTAGTGTTTTTATTGTGGGAAGTGCAATACATTTGAATTTAATTTATATTTTAAACTGATGGAAATAAAGTAGATTTGACATTTGTATAAAACAGGGTGTGGTGAGGCTCTCTCTCAATCTCAAAGAATCCTTGCTGTTTCACAGCTGTCATTCATCATCATCGTTATTAAATTATTCATAGCACAATAAAAAAATATGTAACTCTACGTGTGATTTAGTAGAAAATCACACATAGTATATACAAAATAAAAGATTGTGTTGTCTTATGAGGAACATGTTTTAGACACTCAAACGTCAAGGTAGTCAATTTCCAGTATAATTCATGGGAATTGCATCCTGCAGTTTAAATTTGGATTAGGAATGAGTCACAGGCGATACGGCGAGGCGATAAGAGGAAGATGATCTATTCTTTGTTGATGCATTCCACATAAATCTCATTCTGGGATCTTCACTCTTTATATTGTTTACTTCTTTAAAAGGGAGAGAGAGAGATTTTCCAAACAATGGTTTTGAAAAGATAAATTAAAAGATGGTTTACAGATGTTTTTTTTTTTGAAAAGAGAACACTTTTTTTATATGCATATAAATATTTTTTTGTATTTATTTTAATAGACCACATAAAAAAAATAATAAAAAAAACAGGTGGAGGAACGGTACTTCTAGATGGTCTTACACCGGCAGACTTCAGATTTCATGCTGTATATTACTGTACCACAGATGAGTCCCTGCTGGACTGTTGACCTTCATCTACTATATGGTGATGTGACAAAGGGATTTGATATTTAAAATGGATTCAATTGTTGATGAGATCAAGTTTTACTTCCCTTTCACAATCAAATTATTTATTCATTTCAGTGAATGCATCCTCTGTTGAACACATGAAGTGCGAAGCCCCTCACAGACATGCTGTAAAATGACAAGGTCAGTTCTTCCGATTTGCACATTACAATTGTAAAATGAGCCTATTTCCAAAAAAAGTGGAGCATCCCTTTAACTGTAGCTAGTAGTTCTGTCATCTGACACCTCAGCAAGTGTTTGTATTTCTTATCAGAAGATAAGATGAAGAAGACGTTGCACGTCAGAATCTCTGCAATCTGTTCATTCAAAGTGATTATTTGGGAAGCCAGATGTCAAACACTATTTAGTGGCTTTGATTACAAATGAAAACTGATAATAAATTAATAAGTGTACTGTAGTTACATTTACCCTTACAAAAAATGCTATGCTATGATGTTAATACCACTTAAAGTAGTGAAATTAATGAAGAGGAATTAACATGTTTATCAAACTTGAGGCCTGAGTCAAACAGAACACATAAAAGTTCATGAGAATTTAACTCGCCAAGATCCGGCTTACCCATAGAAATCACTTGGTCTGAACACTTACTTTAGGTTTATTCTCATTTAAGGCTAAAAATAAATGATGTGTAAGCCGGCAGGTGAGCCAAAAAGTTTATTTCGGACCCTCACAGCACACACGAGCATGGCACAGCGGCCAAAAACACACGCACGAGCATGGCACAGCGGCCAAAAACACACGCACACACGAGCATGGCACAGCAGCCAAAAAAGCCCAAACACACGCACACAAGCATGGCACAGCGGCCAAAAACACACGCACAAGAGCATTACACAGTGGCCAAAAACACACGCACGCACGAGCATGGCACAGTGGCCAAAAACACACGCACACGAGCATGGCACAGCGGCCAAAAACACACGCACACACAAGCATGGCACAGCGGCCAAAAACACACGCACACACGAGCATGGCACAGCAGCCAAAAACACACGCACACACAAGCATGGCACAGCGGCCAAAAACACACGCACACACAAGCATGGCACAGCAGCCAAAAACACACGCACACACAAGCATGGCACAGCGGCCAAAAACACACGCACACGAGCATGGCACAGCGGCCAAAAACACACATAAGGATATTTCCGCACTATAAGGCGCACTTAAAAGCCTTTAATTTTCTCAAAAAAACGACAGTGCGCCTTATAATCCGTGGCGCCTTATGGATCAATTGGTTGACCCACAAACTCGCGCTCTTGTCCATCTTGCACGCTCTGTCACACTGCCAGTTCAACCACGTACAAATCACTGTCCCCGGCGCTGCTCGCGCGTCACAGAATGTTCATAAAGTGCTCCCCGTTCAGCGCTCTTTGCGCTCCACTTAACTCGAACCCGCTCGCTCCAAAAAAACGAAAAGAAAAAAAAATCTGCATTTGTATTTCACTTTTTGGTTTTGGCCTTACCTTACAAAGAACTAAAGACCAACAACAACATTTTCCAAACAGAAATGTTTCATTTCAAATTACAAATTAGGACTATGTAAGAACAGGAATGTAGCATACACAAAAAGTCCTGTCAAATTAAACGAATAAATGGGCCTAATAATATGAATAAAAATTATAAACAAAAATATACATAAAAGTTTTAAAAGTAAATTAACTATAGGCCAGAATTTTGATAACTGAACTTTTGCTCAACGCGCACAATAAAAATTTAAATGGGCTTATAACCATTGTAACCAAACTGCTGTAAAATTAAACGAATAAATGGGCCTAATAATATAACTAAAAATTATATAAACAAAAACGTAAAAAATATATATACATAAATGTTTAAAAGTAGGCTAATTAATTATTAGGCCAGATTTTGATAAGCCTAACTGATTTTTGCGCAGCGCGCACTATTAAAATTTTATTTGGCTTAGGCCTAGGCTATATCATCTGTACACGCAAAAAAACAAAAACTGTAAAATTAAACGAATCAATGGGCCTAATTATATAAATAAAAATTTGGCTATAGGCGTACCTCAACGTGTTAATAAAAAGTAAATTAACTAACCTATTAGGCCACCAGACTTGTATAACAAAAGTTCAGTTACAACAAAACTGAATTCTCTGTAGCACATCTAGTGGATGCAACGCAAACCCAGTAGAACGTATTCAGTATTTTATGCGCCTTAGGCCTCTAATTCGTTGCGCCATATGAAAAATGTTCTAAAATATATAACCCACACCGGATTATAAGGCGCAACTTCAACGAATGACCATTTGCAACATTTAGAACATTTTTTCGCCGTATAGTGCGGAAAATAGCCTACGGGTATGATAAAAAGAAGCATGACCTACCTTATTGCATCAGCGCGCTCTTCTCCGCTACCCTTTCAATGATGCAATCCGTGTCCAAACAAACCAGAGGCTTCAAGATGCTCCTGTGACGCTGTGCTCCTTAATCGATTCTTGATTAATTTTAACGTGGAAAAGCTTCGCTCACATGCCAGACAGAGTTAACAGAAACTTGTATCCAAGTCTGATTAGATGGTAGGAGCAGGTTATACCTTTGTAGGACATAATAACAACAGATGGGACATTTACTGCAAGATTGGTAGGTTTTGTTCACAACATCCCATTCTTCATCTGGAGTCTCCTCATCATCGCCATCCTCAGTACTCATCTTGGTCAGATAATCTTCGCGCACAGACACCTTCAGCTTGTCCCAGTGCGTAGCCAGGCTAATAGTTCACCATGTAAGGCCTCAGGAGTTGCTCTGCTATCGTGTCTGAGTTTGGCGCTCAGGGCATTCAGTGCGCCTCCAGGTATACCGTTACATTTCAAGTCATTGAAATTCTGGGGATCAAGCAGGGCGAAATCTGTGTATAGTCTCTGTTTTTAGCAAAACGTCGGGAAATACTTTCAATGATGGTATCCAGAATGACATTGTGCACTTGTACCTCATACTTGTTGTCATCACCTGGATCGCCTGGCATCTTTTTTGTCTTCTTTAGTCTCCGGTTTGGCAGCGCATGTTCCACCTCTGCGTTTGTCTCACACACGACATTTAATTCTCCATTGGCCCATTGCACAAATGCGTTTGTTGCTGTCCTTACCCCCTTAAAATCCCTTGCATATTTTTTCAGATTGTCTTGTGTGCTTGTGACAAAGCGATGGGCCGTGAGCAAATCCATTCCACTAGTTTGCGAATACTTGGAAAGTGGAGTTGTTTGTTGGAAGATGCGTAAAAACGTCTAGGCAGTGAGGATGATTTGGTATTTCAGCAGAGCCTCTGCATAACCGTCGGCCTTCGCACGCACAGTCGGCTTCATGTTGTCTTTCTCGAGTGTAACAGGCTTGAGTTTAACAACAAGATCAATGTAAAGACATCCTTCTGGATCCCAAAACTTCCCAAACAATTTTGTAAGCGCAGCGTCTTTGGCCCACCATCGGGTAATCAACCCTGATTAGGCGGAGCACTCCACCTGATGAAGAAGGTTCGTTTAGCCGTAGTCACGTGACGTAGGTGTTTTGAATCACGCTTCGGAACAATGTTTCGAATCATCTGCGCTTCGGGATCACGCAAAGCTTCGAAATGAATTGTTTCGCGTCAGCCATCCCTAAAATATCCCGTAGATTAGAAGATTGGAAGATTAGAAATTGGTCAGATAACGTTATATCAAAATTGGATTTTTTTTTTCAGAAGGGGAGTAACTGAAGCATGTTGGTAGTCAGAGACTGTACCAGTCAGGGACCGTGCCACTCAAACTTATGTTTATAAAAAGCAGGAGATCAGGCCCTATGATTTCGACGATTTGCTTAAAAAAAGTGTGACGGAACGAGTAATATCATATGGACAAGAGGTAGGGTTTAGATATTCAACAATATCTCTGCTAGTATGTAGAGAAATTGAATTGAACATGCTCCAGATAGATGAGCACCACTTCAGAGAATACATACAGTAAGTCAACAGTGTTTGTGGTCTTGACCTTGGCGGCAAAAAAAGAAAAAAAGTACACAAACAACAACCCAGGGTTTAAAACAGAGACTATAGTGGAAAATAAAATTCTTGGATTATGATTTTTTGAAACAATCTCTGAAAGAAGTTTAGATTTAGCCGATATTAAGATATTATTATTGTTTAAATTAATATTATATTAATCAAATATGTACAATATTTCATATTAATAATCAAAATAAATAGTGACATTTTATTTAATATTAGATTTACATAATTATTTTATTTTAAAGATTAAATTAGATTTAACTAGATACATAAAAAAACATTATTAATGATGTTTCAAACTATTCCAAATGTGTTAGCGTCTTTGGAAATCCTCACAATTTTTTATCAAATAAATGCTACAGATTTTTCTCATAAGGAGCATCTCATCAGATCAGAAACAAACCTTCATGATTAAACATTGTCTAGAAAACTTTGTGTCTGCTGTAGATTGTGTCCTGGCACAGACGCATCATCACACCGTGTTCCTAATTCTGTTTTATGCTGTGGGACATACTGAAAATAAATACAGAAGTGGCTACATTTAACCACAAGGCTCATCATCACAAACGTAGTGCAGGGACTCAGAGACACACACCTGGAGCCCAAACACAGACTATATGAGCATACACACACACACACACACACACCAATAGAGTCATCCCACCCTTCCTGCAGGACGCCATATAATTACTCCTGTAAGTAAGCAAGGTGCACCAGTTGGCTCTAAGCAGGAGAGATCCTCCTACCCCTGGACTCTCTCTCATTCACTCCTTCATTCTGTCTTTCCCCTCCTTCCTTGCCTATTCTCCTCTCTCTTATCCTCTCAAGACTCTCCAAGCTGTGCATCTGCCACTGATCTGAGACCAGTGAGGCGAGACCACTGCACGACTCCACAGTGATCCAAAGGACCACGGCACCCTGGGACCAGAACTTAAAAGTGCTCATCTCCAGGCCAGGCGGAGTGAAAACTGGGTGAGAAGGATAGAGGGAGGAACAGAAAGAGAAGGCACACACTCAACTCAGTGGCAGTATGGAAATGGAGAGGCTGGGGAGAGGAGGAACCAAACCGAACGCGGGCCCCAACACTCTCCTGAAAGCTGCGCTTGCAGTGTGTGTGTGTGTCTGCATTGCACTACTGATAGCCGTCATTACGGGTGAGACATTTGAATGCACAATTACATACTTACTGCTAATGTGACGTATACATCTATCCAGATAGATGGATTGTAGATAGATAGATGGACAGATAGATTGATTGATTTGTGCTCTTCGGTCAGTTGTGTGTTTGTGTATGAGATTATTTTAGGAGTGTATTCTGTTACACACACACAGCGTGTCGTTGAAGGCTGTAATTAGCACAGTAAGTAGGAGCTCTGGTTAGGAAACATGTATATGCGTCTTTAAAGTTTTGAGGCTAAAGGGCCGTGAGTCGTTTAGGGAATGTGGGTGTTTAAGTTTAGAAAAGTGTGTGTTTTTAAAGTTGACAGTTGTCCTAAAAATGACCATCTAAATGTATGACTTTCTTCTGTTGAACATAAAAGAAGATATTTTAAAGAATGTTCAAGTTGCTCTTTTCTCTAAAAATGAAAATGACCAGGTTTGTCAAGCTCCAAAAAGAATTTTGGAGTGAACTGTCCCTTTAAGAGTGCTGACTGTGAGTGAGTCTTGTCTCATGGAACCTGAGACATTGTGAACGCACATCTCATGACATGCTGCGTGACTGTGTGGATGTACAGTATTTTGGTACACACAAGTGTCTTCCTACTGTTGAGACAGCAAATAAATTGTGTTCTTATTGTTCTCAGTTGTTGAGGGCTGCCTGCATTTTTTGCGGTGAGACTAGAGTGTAATTATGCTCATTTCTGTCTGTACATATTCTAGTCACACACACACGGCTGTGTGTGTTGGTTCTGAGGATAATGAGGCTCAGTCCCACGGGGCCGGGTGCTGGATCCTGCTGTGGTCATCTGCTGTCCAGTTGTGGACTGAACCATAAACACAGGCCTTTAAAAGCAATGCTTGTCTGATTTCACAACATACATACAGTTTTGCACTCACCCAAACTCACTGACACAAATTCACACAGTTTCACTGACCTCTGCATGGAGGGTTTACACTGATCATGTTTCAGTATGTTGAAATAGATATTGCAAAAATGCATTCATTGTACTTTTCCTCGCTCAATAAAATTAAAATAAATTACATTAAAAACTGTAAAAAAGCGAAATATATTGAAAGCAAACAAATACACAAAATAATTAATATTTTGTTCCAGAATTTGTTCGATTTCATTTTAAATTCCAAGTAAATGACAATATAAAGGAACTAGATCCCATCCTTCGACGAAGATGTAACCATTGCAAGCAGTGCACAGGGATAGTTTGTTTAAATTAAAAAAAAATTTGTAAAAAGCTAGTTATATCTAATATATTAATGTAATATATTCAGATATATTTCATTTAATTTTAATTTACTTTAATTTAAAAACCAAGCACAGTCGAATAAACAGGTCAAACAAACAAGCAAGAAAGAGAAAATGTAACTCAAAAGTAACAAACATTTTATTTTCCATAAAAATTAACACTGTAACCTAATTAGCTGTTTTTTTAAGAAGTAACACTAATTTTACTTTTCCCCTGCCCAGTTTGTAGTGCAGCTTCTTTGGAATGTGTGTAGTAGAGCATGCACTATGTTTTTGTCCTGTGACATCCAGAGCATGGACAGCTGAAGCCTGAGCACAGTGGGGTGCGTGTGTGTGTGTGTGTGTGTGTTTGTTCATTCGTAGCGCGGTGTTTGGCAATAATTTCAGGGCATAGTTGTCTTGACTGGTTTACTTGACAGATTTTTTTTTTCTCCCCCTGTAGTGTCACACAAAGCAAGCGATGAAGACGTTTGCCTTACCCCACATTGTATTGAAGCAGGTAAACCACGTTTATCATTAAGCCATGTAGGGGCTAGAATGTCATAATGACTTTTTTCTTAAAGCTACACTGTGTAATTTTTACCCCCATCTAGCGGTTAAAAAGGTATATGACCATCTAGTGAATATTAGTTTCTGTTCCTCTCAATTCCGATTTTGTTTTAACTCCTACGGTGGCCAATGTAGTCCAAGATTAACATGACTACCAGTTCGACCTCGTCCATGAGTGTTAACTCAAACGTAAACGCGAAAGGTGAAGCTTGAATTAACAGGTATGTCCCTCTTTGGCTAATGTACTTTCAAGATGGAGGGGCAACATGGCGATCAACATTAGAACCCCTTACCGGTATGTATTTTCAATGGCATATTATACACTCCCGAGAATACTTTATTACTTGAACGAAGTAAATATACATTAATGAGCACATATATTTTTGAAAGAACTAAGTATTTTTAGCTAAGAATAAACTAAAAGAGTTACACAGTGTAGCTTTAAACTTGGCGCCAGTAGGCAACTACCTAGCAATTCCCTAAACTATTACTTATAGTAACTAAACTCACTTTTACTTTAAACATAACAAGCAGACATTATGATTCAGAAAAAAAGCTCAGCTCACTTGTTTAAAATTACTGTAATGATGAATCTGTGTTTGATGTGTCACCTCTAGCCGGTTCTATTCTGAGTAAGATGGATCAGTCTGTTGATCCATGTGATGACTTCTACCAGTACGCGTGCGGAGGCTGGCTCCGGGATAACCCCATTCCGGAAGACTTATCCAGCTATGGGATTTACCCGTGGCTCAGACAGAATGTAGACCTCAAGCTGAAAGGTGCACTGACCCACATGATTCTCAACTGAATAAAACCTGCGTCCCAAATAAGGTGATTCAATATTGAATCTTTGTGCCACAGAGTTGTTAGAGCAGCCCATCCAAGGCGAAGACATCGAGGCAGTGAAGAAGGCCAAAGTCCTCTACACGTCCTGCATGAATGAATGTAAGAACCGAAAAGCTCTTTGCGAGAGGTTCTCTCGTATTGCGTAAGTTTAGCCTACGCTACGGGTAAAGTCGTCTTTTTTCGAGATATTGAAGCCAAAAATTATCCTTAATTTTGCATTCTTTGTCATCGCAGTGCAGCAGCTAGCAGACCTAGAGCATTCCCGTTTGGCCTGTCCCTAGCACCCCGTACGTTCACAAAGTGGATGGACGTGGCTCGTCTCGCCCCTTTGAGAATTCAGAATTCAGGGCGTGCGAATTCAGATCTATATGTACGATTGGCTGATTTTAGCACAGTCGGAGATAGAACCCGTATCTCACAGAACTATCGCTCCTCAGTCATTTGGAAAGCTTGAGTCTCATGGTCAACTGGACCAAGAGTTCATTACGTTGGCAAGGGGTTCCCGTAGTGTAAGCTAAATTTACGCAATATGAGAGAACCTCTTGCAAGAAAATGTACTTGGTTACCTAACGTAACCTCGGTTCTCTCTAGAGAGGGAACGAGTATTGCGTAACCGGCCATGCTCGCGCCACGAGCGATTTTCGCTTTAGATGATGAAAGCAGGGAAGCAGCCTCCGAGCCATGCTTTTATACACTAAGCCACACCCACTTGGCAGGCTGTGACACGTAGTGGGCGTGACTTCACGAAAGGCTCAGTGGTAGGAGCAGCCAATGAGTGCGCCAGACAGCCTGCTCTAGGTCTTCCTAGCTGCTGCACTGCATTGACAAAGAATGAAAAATTAAGGATAATTTTTGGCTTCAATATCTTGAGAAAAGATGACTTTACCCATAGCGTATGCTAAACTTAGGCAATACTCATTCCCTTACTAGAGAGAACCAAGGTTACGTTAGGTAACCGAGTACATTCCAAACAGCACTAATATGATTTGATGCTCTAGAAACATTTCTCATGAACGGCAGAGTGGTAAAAATAAACCGTAAACCGTTTGGGACTGGAATTGAGACTTTACATGATCTTATACATCAGGGGTGTCGGGTGAACAAATGTAAATTTGACTTCTTCATCTGTCCACCTGACAGCTATCCTGGAGATTGAGGATGCCAAACCTCTGCTGAAGAATTTACAGCAGAAAGACTTCCGCTGGCCCGTTCTAGGCGATGCGTTGGGCTCTTCCTCGCGGTGGGTGGAGTCTCAGTTTAACCTGCTGGAGACACTGGCACAGATACGCAGTCAGCACAGCAAGTCTGTCCTTATACGGCTTTTTGTCTCTCCTGATGACAAGAACTCCAACCAGTACATCATCAAGGTGAGATGAACATGTCGTCAAATGTCAACCTCAGGCTCAACCAATTGCGCGAGTTGGGGTGGAAAAATTCATAGCAATTCTTTTTTTCTTTTTCCTAGCTGGATCAGGCCTCTTTGTCACTGTCATCCAGAGAAGATTACATCACCAACACAACTGAGGCACAAATGGTACATCGGTACATCTGTCAACCTCCTTAGCCTATATGTCATTGCATGCAGTCACAGTCTGGCCTGGTTTTATCTCTGCTTTCTCAACCCATTCTTTTCATGCCTCTCTGCAGTATCGAGAAGCTCTTTTAAGGTTGATGGTCGACGTTTCTGTCATGCTCGGAGCCGATGAACGGGCTGCTGAGGCTCAGATGAAATCGGTGCTTGATTTTGAAATGAAACTTGCAAAGGTGAGAAGCAAAACACTGGAAAATCTAAGGCCAAATTCCTTCAAATCACTGGCATTGAGAAAGACAACAGGGCTGTCAGGGTACTTGATGCTTCAATGGAGTGTGTGCTCTTCTGTAGATCGTGATCCCCTATGAAAACCGCACCAGTGAGAACATGTACAACAAGTATAGTTTGTCTAAACTGCAGCGCACTATTCCAGATGTAAGTATATTATAATTCAAATAAATGTATATTTTATGCCATGTCACTCATACTCGTATACACATGATACTTAATTAGTGGATGGGTTTTTCCTAGCCCCCCCAAAAAAAATTTCTGGGGTAAACAATCTCTGTTTAAAAATGAAATAACAATGCTGTTCTAAAGTAATTTTTACCCCCAGTAATCTGACTCTAAATCCCAGGTGAAAACTGTAATTTTGTAAAAAATAATAATAATAATGTAAAGATATATTCATTAGCCATATATTCATTGCCCATACATAAGTGTGGGATGGAACTATTAAATTAGGGGCGAGGGGTAAATTAGGGGTCACATCAACATTGGTCAAAAGTGTTTTCCAAAAACTACTCATCCCACCTTTAAATGTCCCAATCGAACTATGGCCTAATACTGGCTTAATCTAAACTAAAGTGTATTTGTTTATATAGAATTTGACATTAACCTAAATTAATAAATGCTGTTAAAATATTGATCATTGTTTCATTTTACATAATTCATTAACTAATGTTAATGAAATAAAAATGTTACTGTAATTCAAGTAAAATAATTTCAAAATTCAATTTACCTGGTACAAATATAAATATATTTCTAAATGCATAGTCACACTACACTAGAGTTTACCCAGGTATAATTGCATTTGCTTTTTGCAGTTTAACTGGCTGGGTTTTGTCAGAGCAGTGATTGACACTGAGCTGTACCCAGACCTGAAAATCTCCTCTTCAGAGCAGGTGATCGTCCGTGCCCCACAACACTTTAAAGACCTCTTCAAACTCATCAACGTCACAGAAACCAGGTATCCAGACAGCTCTGTAAGGAGCAAAACCCTATTAAAACATCAGAGCCCCGAGGCTCTGCCTTTGTTGATCTGGACAGTGTCAGTTGTGTGATCACACACTGTTTATGTGTGTGCTGTTTGTGAGTTTATCTCTTTATTACCTGCTCTGCTCAATAACAGAGTCAAGATTACTTTGTAATTAAGCTGCTTCAAATGTTTTACTTGCAACCTCGCCTCAGGACAGTTGCCAATTACGTCATATGGAGATCAGTATTTTCCCGAATCACCACGTTGAGCCGACGCTTTCTCTACAGATACCTGGACTTTGCTCGGGTTAGTGAACCAACTTCTCATTTTTACCCTCCACCAATCTTTAAATAAAAATAGACTTGCTGAGGTTAAAAATACCCGTCTCTTCTCAGGTTATCTCGGGGACCACCTCTCTGACCCCTCGCTGGGACAAGTGTGTAAATTATGTAGAAAACACACTCATCTATGCCACCGGTAGGCTCTTTGTCGATAAGCATTTCCAGGAGGACAAAAAACACATGGTAAGACTTTTAAGTATTTAGATATGGAACCATTTTATATTCAAATTCTGCTTTGCCATTACAGGAATAAGTTGCATCTTAAAATATATAAAAATAGAAAAAAAAATATTTTCAATTGTAATAATATTTCTGTTTTTACTGTACATACATAAGTGTTGTAACTATTTGAAACTATTCTTTCTGTCCACACACACATATGTACATATAATTACAATTTTAGTTTTTGTCCCCATCTAGTGGCACTAATTGTGAATAACAACATAAAACGCTGGAACTCAGTTTTAACTTCTAAACTGCCAAACAGTACTTTGAATGCTAATGTATTTGTCCTTTATGAAGATGGAGGAATTGATAAATGGTATCCGGTGGGCGTTTATCGACATGCTAGAGAAGGAGAATGAGTGGATGGACGAAGAAACAAAGAAAAAAGCAACAGAGAAGGTGTATTACCAGTGTGTTTGTGATGGCTATGAATCCACAGCATGTCCTTTTCTTTATCATTACTGTCTGTATATTACTTTAGGCTCACTCAGTCTTGGCGAAAGTGGGTTACCCAGACTTCATCCTAAATGACACCTATATTAACGAGGACATCAAACGAGTATGTTTGCAAGCTTCTCAGATTTTGTTGGTCATGGTGATGATGATATTCCAGTTTTAATTGTGTTTGACAGATGTCAGTGCAACTCAAAGTCATTGGGGTTTTATGTGTATGCACAGTTGTCGTTCACTCCGACGGACTACTTTGGGAATGTCATGCAGACCCTGAAGTTCATAGCTCAGTCTGACATCGCCTGGCTGAGGAAAAAAGTCCCACGCACAGAGTGAGTTGTCAGCATTTTCAAAGCCTGTTCAAATGAGATGAATCTATCTTTGTTTGAACAAGATGAAACATCCATTTTTATTTCACTCAGGTGGTTCACCAACCCAACTACAGTAAATGCATTCTACAGCTCCTCTACCAACCAGATCAGTGAGTTATGTGTTTCAAATACACAGCTTGGTTGATCACAGCATTCTGTATTTTTATAAAACCGAAGTTTCGCCTTAAAAATGTAAGACAGCAAAATGACTGATTAATCTCAAAATTGTTCACTAAGCAAAGAAAACTACATAAAATAAATGAAAATTAAACAAATGAATGACTTTTATTCAGTAAGGACGCATTCTATTTCAAATACTGTGCTTTTGAACTTTCTATTTGTGAAAGAATCCTGAAAAAAATATTAATAACAGATATTAAACAGCACAACTATTTTCAACATTTTCTTGAGCTGTAAATCTGCATATTAGAATGATTTCTGAAGGATCATGTGACACTAAAGACTGGAGTAATGATGCTGAAAATTCAGCTTTACCATCACAGGAATAAATTACATTTTAAAATATGTATATAAATAGAAAACAGTTTTTTAAATTATTAATATTATTGTAATATTATCCAGTATAATGTGTGTTACAAAGAACACTTTTCATTTGAGTTTTTGATGTTTTTAGATGTTTGGTGTTTGTTTAGATATACTGGATCGTGTTCTTCTTTTACCCAGGATTCCCTGCAGGAGAACTTCAGAAGCCATTTTTCTGGGGACTAGACTATCCTCGGTGAGACATAGACACTTCTTCTTGTTGATGTTTTCTGATTCAGCTCAAGCTAATTTGTGAAATGTGTTCTTGTGTCAGATCACTGAGCTATGGAGCGATCGGTGTAATTGTGGGGCATGAACTGACCCATGGATTTGATAACAATGGTGAGGGCGTTTAATTTATAATGAGTCTCAACACATGCATTGCCTGATTCTCAAGGACATCTGTGTGTATCTGTGTTCATCTAGGTAGAAAATATGACAAAGATGGGAACTTGGACCAATGGTGGAGCAACTCCTCCATCAACCTCTTCACCGAAAAGACAAAATGCATGATTGACCAGTACGACAGCTACTACTGGAAGGAGGCAGGACTAAATGTACAGTAGGAACCAGCATTTTCAATGCATTTATATTTGAGCTACCAACCTAATACTTAATACCCACAATCTTCTCTCAAGGTCAAGGGGAAGAGGACACTGGGAGAGAACATTGCTGACAATGGAGGGATGAGAGAATCTTTCAGGGTATTACAGCATTTTCCATTAGATTATCAACTTGTCTCATTCCATACCTGTAAGACTTTCTTTGATGGATCACAGGAGAAGAAATTTGGAGAATTTCTCACAATTTGTGAACACATCATTGAGACTACTCTTCTGACCCGGATCAACTGATTCATAGAAAAATGTGACAAACATTCACAATTCAGACATTGCTACTTCTCTTAAGTCACAGTCACACACTACATTTTTATTTCCATTGACTTCCATTTATACTTATGTGAATGTGAGAGAATTGTGTATATGGTGAATTACAGTATATGTTCTTTTTTTAAAGACGCCACAGAGCGCTCCATTGTCCGTGAAAATTTTGCATACTTAAAGTCTACTGTGACTGCTTTTCCTGGAGAGTTAAGATATTCAGTGAATGAATTATTAAATATAGCATACAGCTAAATGGCTAAAGATTCATTTGAAACACTTTTATCATACTTTAATGGTTATTTTTTTTATCCTTTCTGAAACTTGAAAGCTCCAGTGACAATTCATTTTAATTGCATAGAAAAAAAATCCTGTCTGTGTTTTATGGAAGAGAGAATGTATTGAATTACATGAGGGTGAATTTTTAAACTATACCTTTAAAGCTACACTGCAACTCTTTTAGTTTATTCTTAGATAAAAACACTTAGTTCTTTCAAAAATATATGTGCTCATTAATGTATATTTACTTCGTTCAAGTAATAAAGTATTCTCGTGAGTGTATAATATGCCATTGAAAATACATACGGGTAAGGGGTTCTAATGTCGGTCGCCATGTTGCCCCTCCATCTTGAAAGTACATTAGACATACCCGTTAATTCAAGCTTCGCCTTTCGCATTTACGTTTCGGTTAACACTCATGGACGAGGTCGAATTGGAAGTCATGTTAATCTTGGACTACATTGGCCACCGTAGGAGTTAAAACGAAATCAGAATTGAGAGGAACAGAAACTAATATTCACTGGATGGTCATATACCTTTTCACCGCTAGATGGGGGTAAAAATCACACAGTGTAGCTTTAAAGGGTTAGTTCACCCAAAAATGAAAATTCTGTCAGTATTTACTCACCCTTATGTTGTTTCAACCCCGTAAGACCTTCGTTCATCTTCGGAACACAAATTAAGATATTTAAGATATTAAGATCGCTCCTGCATACAGTCCATAGGCTTCTTGAGGTACTGGCTCTTGCTGTCCCCGAAAAGTCATTAAAGACATCGTTAAAATAGTCCAAGTGACTACAGGGGCTCAATCTTAAGTTTATCAAACGACGAGAACACTTTTGTGCGCAAAAAAACAACAAAAATAACGACTTTATTTCAACTATTCACTTCCTTCTCCATGAGCCTGTAAGTCAGTTAACGTAGTGTGATTGCGTAGAGCTACGTCACACGTAGGCTCACTATTGGCCGACGCTGGTCATGTGTGTGTGATGCGTGTGACGTATAATAACAGAAGCTTACGCTATTAAACTAGTAACCTGACTCGCGCAGAGGGAGAAATAAACGAATAGTTGAAATAAAGTCGTTATTTTTGTTGTTTTTTTGCGTACAAAAGTGTTCTCGTCGTTTGATAAACTTAAGATTGAGCCCCTGTAGTCACTTGGACTATTTTAACGATGTCTTTAATGACTTTTCGATGACAGCAAGAGCCAGTCCCTCAAGAAGTCTATGGACTGTATGCAGGAGCGATCTTAGTATCTTAAATGTCTTAATTTGTGTTCCGAAGATGAACGAAGGGCTTACGGGGTTGGAACAACATGAGGGTGAGTAAATACTGACAGAATTTTCATTTTTGGGTGAACTAACCCTTTAATATTCCAGATTGTGGTATGTACAATTACAATTCTGTATCCATGTACTTGTGAATGTGTCTGCAGGCCTACAGGAGATGGATCGAGAAAGAGAGAGGAAACGAGGAGCCTCTCCTACCTGGTGTGGGTCTGACCAATAACCAGCTGTTCTTCCTCAGTTATGCCCATGTCAGTATTCAGTGTATCACATACATATTTGGGCCTAAATTTCAGATGTCACAGACATATTCTTACTAATTTAGAAGCGGTTGGAAAAGTTGAAAATGTTTCCTGTCTTTTTTAAAGGTTTTGTGTGTATCCTAAATAGTATGCGAGATTAGAATGACCATTTTATCTGATGGTGGCATGTTCAAATACCTGAGGACTGTTTTAGTACGCACTTAAAAGTACGCATTTTCCCATTACCCAAGTAATGTTTTGCCTGTGGTGTCTTGCCTTAAATAGGTCTCTTATTGATTTGTTTGTGTATATTGTTATGTGCTAGGTTCGCTGTAACGCCTACAGACCAGAAGCAGCACGTGATCAGATCCAAAGTGGAGCTCACAGCCCTCCTAAATATCGGTAAGGTGGAGTAATATATACAGCTCATTTACATCTATATTACATTCCCAATTCTTCAATGTCACTCACTTTACTCTCGTTGCAATGATGAAGGGTTATCGGGGCTATGAGCAACTATGAAGAGTTCCGTAAAGCTTTTAACTGCCCCGAGACGTCAGTCATGAACAGAGGGGCGGAGTCGTGTCGAGTGTGGTAATGAAAGTAAGGACCCTGTGAAGAATTCAATCACGGCACAACCCAAACCTCCATATTTTGTCCCGTTCACTGGTTTCTATAGAGAAACAGCGGTTACTAACACTGACCACTGCAGTGCCTGGCCCTCCTTCAGCCACTGGAATACTGTACACTCCTGAGAGCTTTCGGCCAGATCTGCGTTTTACTGTCAGACCTCAATTATAATGTGCAAATGGTAAACGGACCACACAAATTCCCTTGAGGCCTTCCTTTGGTTCATCACTGTTTTTTACTCAAACAAATTTGGTCGCACTGTTGCTTTAAGAGTGCTATAAATTATTATTTTTGTTGTTGTTGATAACAGTTAACATTGTCTGTCGTTTTATTTTATTGAACACGCTAGTAAATAATTATTGTTTTCCTGAGGTTTTCGAACTGTGTGGTGTGTTTGTTTTGTTTTTTTGCAGAGAAACAAATTTGTTTTGGTGTATTTTACATGTTCATGATGAAACGGAAGTAGCGACAGTATAATTATCGAAGAATAAAAAATGTAGGATGGGATATTTTGAGATGTGGGTGTTGTACTCAAAATTTGAGTGTTTAAGTGAAATTATAATTGGAGGAGTCCGGAATACGTAACCAAAGACCAAAAGATCAAATTATGACCTTTTGATTAAATGTCACAAGGTCCAAGAAATAAAAAACGAAGCATATGCAGTTATTCCAAATAAGATCTGTAACATGCAAGCATTTACAAAAAGACGAATGTACGTCATGTTTAATGTTGATATGGGTCATTTAACTGTTTCACAAGCTGCCTTTTTAGTTTATTTTTGAATTTATTTGGCCATGTAATAAGCAGGATAAAATTTAATCAGCCTGCTATTATAGAAAAAATAAATGGGACTGACAGTGTGATCAGGTCCAATTTTAACATCAACAAATGTGCAAGATAATCCAGACATTCATAAAGCACTGATACTGATTTTTTATTAATTTGTGTGTGGTTGCCTGTGTCTACACTTTTAAAAATAAAGGTTACAAACGGTCTTTTTAAAGCGATGCCATCGAAGACAATTTGGGTTTATTTTTATTCTAATAATCAGAAGAAGAATAAAGAAGAACACTTTTCCACTATAAAGAACATTGTACACAGAAAAGACTCCATGGATGTTAAAGGTTCCTCATGGATCTATAAATTCTATGAGTGCAGGTAGAGGAAATCAATGCAAATGTTCTTTTTTTCAAATGACCAATCAGGAAAGAATGTTTTAATAACAGTCTAACCAAGCACAGGGGGAAATCGGATGAATGACAAATGGAGGCAGCTCAATTGAACATAAACTCAAAGCACAGACACTGAAGCGGTCCAATAATGGACATAGGATGTGAACCAAAATCAATTGCTTTGACCTCCATTTATGCAAGAATAGTGGAAGTCTTGTGGGGACCAAACGGTGAAAAACAGAATTTCATTGATTGGACTGCTAAAAAGGAAAGGTCTAAAAATAACCCAGAGTTCCTGAGGAGATGCATCCGTCAGTCTGTGTGTTGTAGTGTTTGATGTCATTCTGAGGAGCGAGAGAAAGAAAGTGACAAAATATAATGGGTTCAAATGTCCAGGGGGCCAAATTTTCATTCTGCCCAGAGGAAACTGGATATGAAAGAGCAAGAGAAAGCCAGAGGTGCAAGGCGAGAGAGTTTTGCAGAACAATGCCAGAGGCGGCCAATTCATCCACTGAAGCATGAGGCTTGTGAATGTGAGAACACAACTGTGCCCTGCAGTCACATGCTATATTTCTTATATATATATATATATATATGCACTGTAAATGTAATTTAAGTTGAAATTACTTAAACATCCAGGTTGATTGTACTTACAAATTTAAGGTGTAGAATGCATGGAGTTTTTACTAAACCCATTAACTGACAAACACAGTACCTCTTGCCCGTTCATATTATATACCTACCAATTGATTTCTGTTGCTCATTTCCCCAAACGGCAAGCTTCTCTTTTTTTTGCCATCTAGCCTGGCTGCACAAAAATCCATTCATTAACAATGCATCAAATTAACCAAATTCATCAAAAGTTTGATTATACGTAAGTAATCAAGGCTCCTCAAAAGACTGTCTATCTCTCGCTCTCCCTCTCTCTGTCTTTGAGACAAAGACAATAACGCAATTATGAGCATTTATTGTATGTTCCTATGGTAACACAGCGCCCTATGGCTGCATTGGAACCTGCAGTTTGTAGAGGGATCGCACTGCCTGTGAGAGACCAAAAACTTAATTATAATATTATCAATGCAAACATCATCTTTACTCAAACCGATCACATACTCTCCCCATAATGCACTACAACTGGTGGCTTGAGTTAATGAGGAAGCGGGACAATCTCAGAGCGAAAAGAGCAATAATCAATTCAGTGGTTAATAGGCCTATCAATCTTTAAAAGATCACTCCCATAGTAATTAAAAGCTGATTGCATTAACTTAGCCTTTGTCTCGGTGTATTAGAATCGCTGCTGTAGATATTGTAGGCAATTACAGTACTAGATTTTGTGTTTGTGAGAGATGCATAAAGTTACCAGGTTGAGTGTTTTTAGGTTTGCCACTAGAGGGAGATTTAACCTTTATTGAATTTATAGGCCTATTTTTCTTTGTATTTTACCCTAAAAGGTGATTTGTATGTATGCATATTTAAACAGACGCATCACACTGGATGCTGCATCGGTTAAAGTGTAGTTCATATAAATAAAAATAGCTATCCATGCTTTGCCTTTTAGATATTACATGTTGCGGTATGTTATAGTTCACTTGGTCTGGTCTCGGGAGTTTAATTGCGTTTGGCTTGAGTGCCATCCTGATAGGCAGCATACAGAGATAGGAACAGGGGTACTAAGAGCTTTTCGAAAGCATTAAACACAGCTGGATGAGCCTGAAGAGCACACAACTTTTTAAAAAACCCAGACCACGTGTCTGTTAGATCTATCTATCTATCTATCTATCTATCTATCTATCTATCTATCTATCTATCTATCTATCTATCTATCTATCTATCTATCTATCTATCTATCTATCTATCTATCTATCTATCTATCTATCTATCTATCTATCTATCTATCGTGTTTACTGAAATAATCCTTTTTTATTAGGATGGGGGACTCTAAAAGATGCATGAAAATGAAAGGGAAGTGAAAATCATCTATCTACGTGTGTAATGAAAATATCGGGAGAGAGATATTGCTTGAATATCAAACTGGAGCCATTTTCAAAATGTACAGTGCTTCCGGATGACATTTAAGTGGCAGAGAATTGACATTATCCTTCCCAGGTGGTCCAGGTTATGAACCACAGAACCGCATGAATTCAAGCCATAAAATATGACAAGAGGAACATTTGGCTCAGACAGTTTATCTGCTCACAGGTTTTTGTAAAAATTGTGTTTTCTATCAGTGCCCAGTAGATTGCAGAAGACAGATTCACCTTTAATATTCTGTCTAAGAGCTAAGCTGGGACGGCACCGTTGAGAGGTCAGGTTGCTGGATTCACCTCAAGGGCTTATCCAAAATAAATACACTGGGAGATACACTGAAAAAGTGGAACGGCCAAGAAATGGAAGTATTATTTATAGACATGTATGGTAAAATGCAGCAGGAGATAGGGAATTCAGGAGCAAATCGTTTTCCTTGAAATAGAAAGAAAGACTGGTTGCCACTTTCTCACAACAAAACTCCTCATCAATAATGCACCTGTTAATATGCTTTAGTAATTTACTTCAAAAAGAAAAAATAAAGTTCATAAGGAGAGATAACTGTTTACATACTAAGGTACTCTGTCATTTAAGACCATGGGATTAGTTCACCTTTAAGGAGCTTTGGAGATCAGATTCTTATCTGTGAATGGTTGCTGAAAATCTTCTAGTGTGATCTTGAGGAAAGTCCATGTGTCTGGTGGTGGTGGTAATGATGGAGAATGGACTCAGAGGCGGGAATGATTATGGGGGTAATCAGAGTAACAGGCACATGAGCTGTCAGGTCGGAACGAATGTGAGAGATCTCAAGTATGATTTATGAATGGCAATCCAGGAGAACTAAATTATTGCCTCCGCCTCTCACGAAAAAATACCATCTGGAGTGGAACATGCTGACACACTTAAATCACATTCGATCGATCTAGGTGGTAGAATATATGGACACATGCTCCTCATGAATATCATGGTTTATGGAAATTTCAGGTGGAGGGATCTATTCATTTATTCACCAAGTGAATAAAAATGCAGGTCATCCATTTAAATGACCTGACTATCTCTTCCATGATGAGCATATTTTTAATGAAGTCCAAACTGAAGTAATTTTGATATTTTATAGAATGCTCATGTGATGCAACTATGATCTCAATGATGACGAGTCTCTGCTACATAAGATTAAGGAAAAAAATATTTTAAAAGTTTAGTTTAAAATATGTGCCAAGGTCTTAGAAAGGTTTCATTTGGGTAAAAAAAAAAAAAAGTCATGTTTTTAAATGCCTGCCCACAAAAATGATCTTGAAAAAAAATCATTTAAAATTCTTTTTTTTGTGTGTGTGATTATTTATTTATTCATTAATTCATTAAATTAATTTATTCATCCACATGTGCGAGCACAACTACATACAAGACCAGGGTTTGCTTGTAAAAGATATATATATATATATATATATATATATATAAATTATTTTACAATTATTTTAAGTACTCTAACAAAAGGAAAACATTATTATTTTTTACAAAACTTTGTACTTTTTAAAAAACATTTATTACTTTTGACATGGTCACATTTAAACATAGTTTTGATTGTACACGCCTTTATTTAATTATTTATTTTAAAACACTTTTTCAAGGTGAAAAGTTTTTTTTTAGGAAGATTGCACCACACGATGCAATTTTTATTTTCACATGATATTTTCAAAAAGCCTTTCAAAACCATATTAAACCAAGATGAGAACTCATGTGCATGTGTTTTAAAATATACTTTTAAAATGATTTCCGTCACCTCGGTCACTCTTGTACTGTATGTCATATGCAGCCGAGAATCTGAATGAGACTGTCTAGTATTACATCATAGTTACAACAGATGAGTGATGTAACGCCGACTGACAATACTATCTGTCAAATGACAAATGTCCTTGACGCAAATCTATTCGGTTGAATTTACTTCTTTCTCACACTTCACATTTGCGCGATGTGCCGTTGTCAGTAGAATAACTTGGATCAGTCATTGACAAGAACATTGCCTCAGGGTCTGGCGGACTGAACCATTACATATCCGTCAGGCGTTCTGACATCACTTCATCTCGCTGCCTTTACAAGCTGAAAGACACAGATGATTCATGATTTTATAAAAGCCAGCTCTAATCACCTGCTCTCACAGAATATAAATCCAAAACACAACGCCCTCAGCAAGACTTCCCTGACGAGCAGCATTTGCAGGCTACGCTGCCATTTGTAGCTCTGAAAACAGAAAGTACATTTCTAAAAGGGTTCTTGTCGCTCTGGCCTTTGGGCAAAATAAGTAGATTTGG